CTGGACTGACACCAGCACACAGCTCAAATATAGCCACATGCATGCTTGTGCTGTATGGATTGCCAACAACAGGGAGAAGGTGATGGGACAACTGTGGTAAAGAGAGGTAAAATCAGGAAGTCTTGAATTGTTGGATGATTATTGAAAAATAAGCACCAAATGCTCAGCAGTCTACTTATCTGCACTGCAGTAGCATCCCTAACCCTCTGTAAGAATAAGGACATGCTCACTGCTGATTACAGCCCTTACCCCAAACTGTTTCAGTGCTGCAAAACACACTGTGGCAAACAGATGTGGCTGCATCGCCCTTGAGGAGAAATCCATCCATAATCCCACCTCCTCAGGGGTCAGCTCCAGTGTGAAGGCCCAGCCAGCTGGAATCCCATGGGTGGAGAAGCTGAAGGAGGAGGCAGGTGGATTTTGTGTTTGGTTACAGAAAAGTGACTCTGTAGGGACCACAGCCAGCTGTGAGAGGTCACGGGAGCTCCTTTGAACCCTACAAAGCATGTGTGTGTGCACTGGGTGGGGTGGACAGAAGTTGAACTAAAGACAAATGAGTGATCTAAAGCCCTGAGATGTCCCTCCAGAGATACAAGAATTGCCATTTAATTGCCTTTTAAGCATGACTTTGCATTAACTGCTTCCACTGGTTCTTGATAGTCTTCTTAAAGCTACTCTTCCACAGTAAAACAGTCTTCATCCGTTCTTCTCAGTTTTAATCTGTAGTTATTCTCTGAAGGTAAATCTAAAGTCTTTGCAGCATGAATGCTTCAAACATATAGTTAGGAAAGTCTGATGAGCCTTCAGGGACACTGCACAGCTTTTAGTCACCTTTGATGACAATACCTACCCTCTTCTCACCGATCCATCTGCAGATTCTGTCACAGTTCCTGTGGTCAGTTATTCTGAACAGCTGCTTTTTCTTTCTAGTTACCCCTCCAGAGAAACTTTTCTTTCTATTCCCAAATGAAAAAAACCTTCTCTCTTCCAAAATGGCTAAACGTTTGTGACAGGCAGTATGTTGGCCTAGTTTCACTAACTCACTTAAGTTTCTGTGCTCTGTAGCAGTCTAAGCAGGAAAGCACTTAAAGCTCTGGGAAGTGAATCTTGATGCAGCTTCTTTTTCTAATAGATTCATTTTAATTATTTGCTTTTCATGTCTTTTCTTTTAGTTCATGTTTAGTTCCTTCTGAGTCTCACAAGCCTATATTGTTGACCTCATAAAAGGCATCTATATTCATGGATGAATACACAGGCAAAATAAATCCTCTTTTAGATATGTGAGCTATATACATATGGTGTGGTAAAGGTTGAAGTGAACCCAAATTTGTGCCAAGCAGAAATTTGTGCCTCAGAGCTACTCTCTGGGACACACTGATCAAAGTGAATATCAGTACATACAGAGAGAGACAGGTGCATGCACTCATGTGCATTTTACAGTCCACACTGCCTCTAGGTTGGAAAGCCAGCAATACAAAACTGTGTGTACCCACTTGGGACAGGAAGTGAGAAACTATCTTTAGCTGAAATTGTAGTGGAAAGGAAGGCTGTTTATGTTCATGTCTGCATTTCTATGAACACTGATATGGGACTGTCTGCAGTGATGAGGAATTCCCCACGCAAGGTCAGTATTTCTAGCATGGTCTGTGTCCTAGAAAGAGAAAGGACAGTTGTTTTTTGCTCTAGCACACTGTTGCACAAAGTGCTCAAAGCAGTTGCTAAGGTTGGTGGTGATCACGAGACGAGTGAGCAAACATACTTTTCTGTTGAATAAATTCCAGGGGATTTCAAATCCATTCTCTGAAGGCATCAAACTCACGTGTCTTTACGGAGCACCTCTTTCTTTGTGTGTTTACAGTAATTTGCTGATCCTGGTGCAACACATAGCCATTTCCTTCCTGAGTAGCATCATCCTCTGGGAATGGAAAATTTCCTCCTTTATCAGAGCTTGACAGACAGCAGAGTGATTTGATAATACTGATTTGTTTCCAGCTGCCAACCCCATCTAAACACTGCATCTCACACATTCCAGGTTGATGTTTTCTTTGAGCAGCACTTTGCATTGTCCCCCAGACGTCCTAGGGCCAACAGAACTTGTCCACTAATTCAAATCAGGTTAGTTTATAGTTCTTCTCATAGGACAGTTCTAGAGAAAACTTAGGGGTTTTTTGTTTGTTTTTTAACTGTTTTATCTGTAAGTGTTGGCATTAGATTTATTTACATCACTACAGAGCGAGGTGCATGATCTTGCAGGAGAGATACTTGTTAGGCGACATTTTTTGGCTGGCAAGTTATCTACAAGATCCCATTCCAGCATAAATGATGAGTTTGACAGAGTGCTTACCAGAACTGTTCTCTGGTTTCCTCTGCACAGGAGATCAGATTAGATAATCAAAATAGTCCTCTTTGAAGCTAAAATCTGTGAACCAATATGAGAGGTTCAATTCTCAGACTCCTCCAGTTCTTCATTTCTTTGTTCTACATAAATTGCATGAAATCACTGTTAATTATGATGGTAGACATGTTGCAGAAGAGATGTACAATCATCGCTTCATTAGCTAGCCTGGTCACCCAGAAAGTGAGAACCACTGTAACTCATCCCAATAGCCTTAACCAGCCACTATCCTGAAAGACTTATTATATTTGCACACTGCAGGTGACATCTGCCTCAGCTCCTATCTGCTCTTCTCATCATCTCCTCCATGCATTTACCAGATGTTGGAATGGAAGCATATACCTTTTCATGAAACCATAGTCACCAGGCTCAATCAGCTCACATTTCTCCAGATGTTTTGTGATCTCATCACTTATTAATATTCCTAGCTAAGTTAGCTCGACTCTAGGTCAGGATCAGTGGTTATAACCTCACCAACCCGTTTTAGAAGAATTCACTAAGATTGATTTCTGTTAGTTACCCTTAGTTATCCTCCTCCCCACAGCCATCTCTGTGGAGCTTTTAGTTTTGGACATAGATTTCTCCCCAGTCTTACGGCCATTTCAGAGGTGTAAGTCAGCAAAACTTCCCTATTAATTTGCTACGAGCAACATAAACTCCTTCAATCATTACTAGGAATAGACACATGGATACCTTCCAAATTGCCAAGATACTTCTGTAACGATTTGCACTATCATAGTTCTGTGCACGTAAGAAAGCTTTCATGTTTAATTAATACCCTGAAGACCCGGGTGGATAAAAGCACAATCTCAGCAATTGCTCGTGCAGTTTTTCTGCTCAGAATTTTAAAATTGGGCCCAAACTCTCCATCAGCACCTTACCTCTACTACCATTTCTTTTCAAAGTTATCGGTTTTGTCTACAAATACTTCAAATTAACAGAAAATTAGTCAGGATTAATTCTGTAATGTGCTGGAGGCTACAAAGTATGCGAGCTGAAGTGTAATTTTGAGGATCGTCAGGAATATTGTGGCACGTAAATGGAGCTGAAACAGAATTTTTAAATACATAAATTCTTATTTAAGAGTGGGAGATAATATGGTGGATAAAAAAAGACAATCAGTTGCTGAAATAAGGGAATGTTGTTAAATTGTTCAAATTATCACTTATTTATGAACCACATGTGCCATGCCCATTCATACTTCAACATTCCTGGAATCACTTGTTTACTGCCCACGTCCAGGGCTTATGTCTTATTTGCTCCTGCAGCTCTAAACTGAAGGCAAATCTTTGCAAGCATGTGGCTCCAACCAAGCTGAGAAAGAGATAAACAGTATAAATCTTCCACTTTCTCAGTCCGTGGCATCTTAGCTATCACAAATGCAGGGAATATCTGCAAAGTGCAAATTCTTTGGATTATTGAATTCCTCCTGTCGCTCTACTGTGATTGGCTTCTTTTATTTTTCTCCTTAAGGCTGTGTGCGTGATCTTTATCCTTTAGTGTTTGACATTAACTTGAACTGAGTAATTGTACCTTTGAACAGGAATGACATTGTTCCTGGCAACTTGGTAAAAAAAGTGAAGTCAAAAGTAATGAAAGCAGTTGTTTTCCTCCTGTCCCCTTCACTCCACGTGCTGGAGAGCAGTGGGAACAGTCCTATGGTGGAGCTATAGCTGCCTGCCAGCACCATTTTTACCCCCTTTTTGAGATGACTTGCAGCATACTCAGTGACTGAAAATGCAAGCATAACACATTCCTCAACCTATACAGCTTCTTCTACTGCACCCATCATAGACACATCTGGGAGCTCTTACTCATGGGAAAGAGGCTAAGTGTATCAGACAGATAAAAACCACTCTTATTATCTGGTATTACATGTTTTTCCAAGGAAGGTGATGGAAGTTTTCAGCAGCTATGTCATTTTCCCCCGATTGTTTTCAACAGGAAACAGAAATGCTCAGCTTCAGGAATCAGCTTTAAGATATAACTGAGCCTTGGTCAGATTCCAGCCTGATCCTGGAGTCCCAGCAGCTGACTGTCCTCCAAATCAAAACCATTCTCTCCCCCAGTGTTTTCTCAGAGCGTGAACCTGCAAGGTGCAACGCCTGTCCACCAGGAGCAAGGAAAGCCTGGAATCTTTTCCTAACCAAAAGTACACCTGAAGTCTCCTGGGAGGCTGCGGACACGGTTTGTGCATACCTTCATTACGCAGAGCTGGAATGACTGCCAGCTCGCATGGATGCCCTTGCCCAATACTCAGCATTTCAGCAGAAATAAAGCAACCTCCCAGGAAAGATTCATAGCATTTCCAAAAGCACAGATCTCTCTTCTGTCCTTTGCCCTAAATTGCAGCTCAATTTGTGCTTATTCTCCCCTAAATAGCTGAGATTCAAGCTAAATAAAGGTAGCGCTGTTTGTTTTCAGCTTGAACACGTTAGCTAAAGGAAATACTGTAAATTACAGCATGAACATGCCACACCAGTGCGAATGTGCAGCTGAGAGCTCCCCAGCCAGCTTGCAAATGCAGCTGAGAGCTTTGTTAAGTGGGAAAAGCAAAGCAACGTAGTTATTAGACACAAACAGTCATGTAAGTTTCAGGACTTACCCTGAGTCATCCCTGGCTCCCTCGTCTCCGGCTGATGTTTTCATCATTACAGCAAACTTTAAGACACTCTGTTTCACAGTGGCTTTAGAGTTCCTTGGTAAAGAAAGCAATTCCTTTCCATCGCTGAGCAGAACATCCACATCCTTTGGTTTTATATTGAAGATGATATTTCAAGGGGCAGCAGGGGGAGGATGTTTAAAACCAACTTCAGGCTCAGTAATATCGGAGGGCAGACGACTAAACAGGGACTGAAATGAAAGCAAACTACCAAGAAGGTCTGATTTTAGCCTCTCTTCTTTCTACTTCCTGTATTTATACGAACGGGGGATTTCAGGAAGAGGCAGTCTTTGGTGGTCAAGGGTGTGTGTGTGTGTGTGTGTGTGTATTAGAAAGCCATATTTAGTAGTGAAGGCAGGTTAACCTTATTAGAAAGAAGGGCCTGAAACTGTCAGCTTCTACTTTGTTTCTCTAACTTAAGTAAATACAGGGGAGTTTGTTTTACAGACTACAGGTATATCAGTAGGCAACAGAGCATGGTGAACTTTGTAAAGGATTTTATAAGGCAGCAAAGCATTAAGTCTCCGTCTGCAAATTCCTGAAGCATGTGTATTTCTATTGCTTGAATAACTGGAACCAGATGGAGCTTGGAAACCTTTATATTTACACAGGACCTGGGAAAATGAAATGTCTAACACAGGCAGAGGACATTTATGCAGAGAAGTTAATGCAGAAGGTAATGATAAGGCTGTAAGACTGCTAGTAAATGAACAGCTGTCTGTTTGACCTGGAGTTACTTAAGTGGTTGAGTAGTTTGCTGTACTGAAAACCCAACTGAACGCAGACCAGCCGTGGAGGCTGGGAGCTGACAGATGTGCTGTCAGACAGGGCTAGTGGCACTCCTGCTTGGCAGCTCTATTATTCAGGAAATATTTGATGTTGGAAGAATGCATAATGGAAAAAAGCAAAGTAAAAATATGAAGCAGAGGCAAAGAAAAGCAATTGCTTGGAACAGAGGAGATGACAGTAACTTGTTTCTCCTTTTATTTTTAGAAGAAATTTCTCAGCTTTCTATTGTTCCAGTAAGTACTTTGCCATGCAGCCCACCTTAGAAATGGAAATGTCAGGCAGCTCCCAGTGTATCCGCATGAGAGAAACTAGACTTGTGTAGAACACAGAACTTGTTCTGCTAGCCTGAGCTCAGAGGAACCGGGGAACCTTACTCTAATCCAGACCCACTTGTGTAACTCAAGATAGACTTTTCTCAAGGGTTTTTCAGTTAAATCTTGAACTTCTGTTGGCATTAGAAGCCTGTCTTCTAGCTTCTAGAAAGATTTCTCTTAGAAAATCAAACAGCTGATGCAAAGGCTGCACGATGGAAAATTCACAACCCTGCTACAGGTGTCGTACTGTTTAATTATCAGTATCATCTAGATTTCAGACTACACTTTTTGCCTTAACTAGTCTTAAGATTTCTGTTATTGTATCTCATTATATTATCTTCTACTAAACTAAGGACCACTTTGCTCCAACTCATGTTGTCAGTTTTAGACAATTACGGACTCATTCAATGTTGCATTTAACTCTTAAACTGGTTGGCTGAGATTCACTCATCCTTCTCTGCAGGCTTGTCGTATCTCATGGATCTTTCTGGTAGCTGGAGTACTGTTGGTTCTGGGCACAGAGGTCCAAGAAGTACGCTCCAAGTTTGTTCTCCAGCTTGGCACTTTTGAAATACACCTTGGGTATTAGCATAAGAACAAGTTTCTAGATACATTCCACAAATTCAGCCCCATGCCAGCGTTTCATTTCCCTACATTGCAGCCCAGCTAGGACCAGGACACTGAGTTTACCTTTGCTTATCTGGGAAACAAAGGCAGAAAGCTTTAAAGCTGAGCTGTTCTGTGTGAACCTACTCAGATGGAGAAATCTGTGCTTAGACAAAGATGCAGTCATCCTAGGCAAAGAAATAAGACTCTGCAGATGCATAAGATCAGTTTTCAGCAAGTGAGAAGCATTTCAAAAAATGCTGTTAGGCAAGAAGTACTATTAAAAACACACAGGAAAAAAAATGCAAAAATACAGAATACAAAATACAGTATTGTGGTGGTTTTTCAGTTTGACATTATTTGAGAAAAGCTCTTTTTTGGTTTCTTGTGAAAACTTTCACACAATTCATAATGTACAGGTTCAGAAATTTAAAGTTTTGAAAGTATTTCTGTTAAAGATAATGGACAAAAATTCTGGAAAAAGACTCATTTTTTTTCTCCAAGTATTTTAGCATCTCTGCAATATTGTATAAGTATTTCTGTAAAATGCATAAAATATGGAAATTAGGACAAACTTTAATATAAAATATTTTTTCACAGCTTTTCTACGTGCTTTTTCTTAAGCCAGAGATCCAACAGGCTTGGAGTGAGATGCTGTGCTGTAGGATGAGGCTGTGGTACACAATTACACAAAAGCTACACGACAAAGACAAACACTGCAAAACACTTCTCTGAGATACATCCAAGCCAAACAGGTTTTAGAGAAAGAACTGAATATTTCAGTACTTGGAGAATTATTTAGATGTGACATATTCATGAAACTAATTTTTAGCCTGTAGATTGCTGCAGTATCAGTGTGAGCTAGAAGCTGCTGGGGGAATTCTTGTCTTTTTTTAGGGCTGATTCACCCCTTCCATCTTCCACACCATTTGGCCTAGTTGAGAAGGTTTAACAATGAGAGAAGCCCTTAAGTGCAGTTTGGTTTCACTGAAGTGCTTTCAGCATATGCACAGATTATGTGCGTATGTGACAGTTCTGCTTTTCATGCAGTAGGATGCAGTTGCATCATGGTATATTCCTGCAGGAACTGCTGTGCCTATTGTGTCACTAATCCATAGATTATGCGCCTTTTATAAAGCCTATTACATAACAGGTCATGATGGGTCATGAGGTCAAATGTACAGGGGATTAAAAGAATGGGTACTTTCTACAGCCAGATTCTGATTCTTGGAAGTTAATTCTGTAGGGAAGAGGGAGTCATTTCCTTAGAAACACCTAGCCTAGAATACACCAAAGAATGAACCCTCATGCAAAAGTCAAAGAAAGCAGGATATTGCTTTTCTCTACTTCACAAGGACTCTTCTGTAGAAACACAAAAACACAGTGGCTAATTACAGGTTTTATACAGTAACAGGGATTCAAAAGCATGCAGTGTGGCTATGGAAAATAAGGTCAAACTTTATCACCTGGAGTAAACTGACAGAGTATTAATGGGAAGACTCTTGCCTAATGAATCATTAAAAAATACAGTATATGAGAGTAAGGTTCCTTCTTCAAAGAACTGAATTTAGAAACTTTCCTTCAGCCCAGAAGATACAGCATCAGAGACTGTGCATCTACCCTAGAAGTCATATGAAACCCTGAGACAACTGTATGTCTGCCTTTTGGAACAGGCAATCAAGAATAAGTGGGACTATTTTTCTTTCTCTGCTATCTCCAGAGCCTAAGTATCTGGGAAGGTGAAATAGCACGACGGGGCTTTTAGATCATGCTTCCATTCCTTTTTGTCAGCATTCAGTACCCAATGGGAACCTGATGGATTCCACTGTACCATGGGGCCAAAACACTGTGATAAGGATGATTCTGAGACTTCCACATTTTTCTGGATTGGTGCCTCAGTAGAGCAGACTATATTCTCAGCAGTTCAAACATTTCTAGTCCCAAAAGGGCAAATCTTGCATTTTGAAATTGCTGCAGGTCAAACTGATACACTTGACTCACCCCAAAATATTGGCTTGATCCAAGCGATACTCCCTTGAACAGATGAGAATGTGGACCTTCTGTCTTTCAGTTCAGCAGAGTCCAGGTTTCAGCAAGAAAGTGCAGGCATGTATCCTAGCTGGGTCCTGAAATTTTAGATTTTCAACAATAAATAAGAGAACGCTTCACACGTTCTCATCACCTGAGAAAAATACAGCAAACAATCCAGTAGTTCTTGTATAATTTATTGATAGTGTACATGTGTTAATAACATAGTGCATTACCATACTGACTGCTAGATTCTTTTATAAATGCCTATTTGACTATTTATTTTTAATTTTCCACAACAAAAATAATCAAATATCATGCCAACATTTTGTAACAAATTATCACATTAAATCCATATGGATTTCATGACATATTTATCTGTACAAAGGACCCCATATACACAGAGCATTCACAGTGCATAAGGTCACGGTCATTGAAAAAATAAATAACATGATAAATAGAATTTTGTTATTTACAGTTTACAAACTCATCCCTTTCAGTTTTCAAAGTAAGCAGTTCTAGAAAGTTTTAATAAAATTTAAAGAGGTACTGCACCACCTAAGGGTGCACTGCAAATGGCTGTAAGTACGAAGCACAGGGAATTTTAAAAGGTTCAGAATTTATTTTAGCAATCGTAAATGATTTCAAATACCTGCTTGCAATGGAGGAGATGGCAGGTGCCAAATTCTGCTCATAGTTCCACTGCTGAAAATTTGTGTCAACTACCAGGACTATAATGAGAGCTGGCATCACTCCCAAGAACGTGAAGGCAAGAATTTGGTCATTAACTTCACTGCAGAGTTTCAGCCATTTGGAACATTGATGCTGCTGGGGAAGCAGACTTGAGTGTTCTTTCTGTATCCAACCGGTATATATGAATGAAGGCAATCATCTTTTCTGCAAAATCCTCTGAAAAGAAGCATCACAATCTTTCCAGATACTTTATCTGTCTGGTTTTGATATATTCTGATGACCTTTAGATTTTGTCACAATTCCCTATTGCTATAAATCAACCTTTATATTTGTTTTTCAAGTTTACCAAGATCATCTCAATGATAAGACAGCAACAATCACATACATTCTTTGTGCAATTAAAAAAAAAAAGAAAAAAAGAATTAAATTCAAACTGGTAACTCTTTTAGGAAAATATCCAAGTGACCTTAATTTCCTATACTCTTTCATTTATTTCAGAGGTTTATTGTATGTCAGAAGTATGGTAGGAAGCAGAACATGTGATGTGATGTGATGTTCACAATCATTATACATCTCAGCCTGTGGAGAAGGAGCTACACGTATTTCAAATTTCAGGATAGGGATGAAGGATCTCACAGCTTTCTCTGGGGAGAAAACAGGAGGACGTCACACATGGGGAAAGAAAATGCATGCTCAATTTATTCACATTGAGATTTTTAAATCTGTGCATACTGGGTCAGGAATTGGAAAGCACTTATCAGTTGAACAACATTCTTCTCTTTGTTAGAACACTTGCATACCGAATTTTCAAAATAGTTTGAGGAAGTAATAAGAGGTAATGGGGGGCTTGGTACAGAATTGGTATAACTGAATGCTGTCATTTACCTGTGTAACCGTCATATAAATCTCATCACTCAACAGAATGAAAAATCTAGACTTCAAAGAAATATAAAGGAAAATACGTAGCAAATGTCTGAGCTGCAAAGCTTTTCTTATGAGTGCTTAAACACAAATAAGTGAAGGATCTGAGCCTTGCAGTGATAAATTATTATGTCCAAAGGTGATGCATTTCAATACTTGAAAAAAAGATTCTTTGGTTTCACCTGGCTATCAGTGTTACTTTAGTGTCTGCTTCATATTACATCAGGTCTGCTCTTTCCTTGGCATGGATAATCAGGCAGTATTTATACAACTTAAAGCACTCTACAAAAAGAAAAAAAAAAATCTAACAGTGGTACACAAATAAATAACATTACGATTGCAAGAAACCCAAAAACGGAAGACACCCCGACATGTGGGATTTGTGCAACTAGAGCAAACACAGTAAAATCAAGTGTGTACAATTAAAGCACAGTCACAAAGGAAATCAAACAATAGTCTTCCCTGTAATTGCTGTATAAATATTAGACTTGGAAAGACGTTTTCCATTTGCTTACACATTAAAGGAATGTTTACTAATATAATCTAAAACCAGAAACTAATTATATGTTAGTCACAGCTGCAGCAAGCATACCATAAAACAAAATTGGCACGCCAATGACTGAGCCAGGAGAAAGATGGTTGACTGCCATACGTGTTGGGAAGACTTAAGGTATTCAGCTAGGCTGGACTTCAGCCTAGAGCAGATCAGCAAACAGTCATTTTAAGATAACCATAACTGTAGCTTTTTAGATTTAGACAAATAGATCCCTAGCCTGAAATATTTATTTGGGGAATATTTTCCATGAATCAGCGTGACTCAGAGTACCAAATCTGAACTTTTATGACATAACCTTATAATGCAGTACAAGACTTACAGTCTAAGGAATCAGACAATTCAATGGCAACACTCCCATGTAGTCACTATAGATAGGTCTGCACTCTGGAATCTATGTGGGGCTGTACTACTCCTGTGGAACTGTAGCACAGAAGAGCTGCTAGAAGCTCTGCTTGGCCAGCAGTAATTCCGCTTTGATGCTACTGTATACCAGGAAAGATACACTGTTTTGAAATCCATGGGACAGGGAACCAGTTCTCCTCTTATTCACAAGTGGAAATCCAAAGTGGTGTCAGCAGAGCGGAAGTCCATAGATTCGGTCCAAACCTTTCAACTTGAGTGAGAAATAAAAACTGTAGTCTACAAAACAAACATGAGTGTGACAGAAAGCCCAAAAGTCATGCTCAGCTGTCATCAATCCAGCAAGGCACTTAAATAAATATATGTTTAGTTTTAAGCATGGAATCAATCCTAATGAAGTTAAGCTTTGCTGGATAAGAGCTGTTTCTTTCTGCATTGTATTACTCTTCAGTATTAGTAGGCTGGCAATTTTCAAATCACATCCACATGCTTTCTTTTCACTCTTGAACTGAATGTTAGCTTAGACAACATTGTGACATACATTCCAAACTCAGGCAGCTAACTGTTAGTATGGTTAGTAAAACAAAACGGCTACAAAATTTTCCAAACCCAATCTGAACAGATGCAATATAGAATTGTAGAAACTTCAGAGAGCCAAGTGCAAATTGTTCCTTTCCATCATTGGAAAATGGCAAAATTTGAAGTAGTTTCCTGACGCAAGCAAATTATTTTCTGCATACATGAAAGGCACTATTCCACTAATACTCAGCAATATTCTCCTGAATTACTGACACATTCTTAAGTGGGTATCTGACAGACAGCAATTTGTCAGTTAGATCTTTCTCAGTCCATTCAATTTATCTGCATGGCTTGCCTATAATTATCATCTTCATTTATTTTAGCATATTAGTAATGACTATATGGGGACTCTAACTACTTCGTATGATCATGTGTCATCAAGGCCCTGATACAGCATCTAATAATTCTTTGGCAAACAATATATCCCTGGTCACATGGTTGTGTCAGAGGAGAATCCTACTAAAGTTATTTATAATGATAAGCATGGCACGATACCTGTCTTGTAAAAGAAGATGTATATGAGACTGCCTCGGAAAATGCAGCATCACAATTCAATATAAATCGTCCTGAAGTTGGTCTACATTTTAGGGAGGCCTATACAATGACAGGACCTGCTATGCAATTTAAGGTCAGCATTATTTTCCAAGACTGCCTCTTCCTACAGCAGAACACTGTTTTTTGGAGCAGATGATATTCAATTTAGGAAAAATAATTTTTAAAAATGTCTCAAGGAGTCATGGCATTAGCAAACACAATTTATGCATTTTTGAGCTGGGGATCAGCTGCAATGGAAGAAATTGGTGCCCCTAGTCTTTTAAAGCTACCTGGCTCAGAAATATGAAGATACAGTACAATCCGCTACGTCTGGCACTGTAAACATCGATGCCCTCATCAATGTCAACTCAGCTGATCACTAGGCAGGCATTCAAAACTAGATTTTGGAACTACTATTAAATAGTGTAAGTACATCCGAGTTGCCCAAACTGTGCACAGAAGAGCAAATGTTTGCTTGTAGGCAACTAGTTCTCTAAGTCCAGCCTCTATCTCTGCTCCTTTCAGGTTCAAATCTAAGCCATCATGAGACTATCAGCAGCATACTCTCATTCTGAAAAATAGCAGAGAAGACAGTAAGAATAGAGAAGGATGCTCCTACAGCAGTGCACTTTCACAACTTTTCTGCAATAGAAGACTCAAGGATGAAAATGAATCTCTTCAGCTTTGCTGCTACACTACAGCAGAATTGTCTTGAATGCCAGGAAATAAGGTCATCTACATACTTGAGGACAAATACGTTTACTGTCATGCTTGGCTATTCAATAAAGCATTTTAATAATGCTGTACTTATTTCCACCCTAAGATTTGTGTAGTTTAACTACACAACTACCTAATTAAGGTGAAAAACCCTAACTGGGTACTAATACTGACATTTATTACGAAGTGTAAAGCAAATAACAAATATATCGCTCCTTTTCCTGTAGGATTTCATTAGAAGGAACCAATTCCTAAAAAAGCTCAACAGCAGAATTCACTCTTTAATTTGCATCAAAATAAATCTTAAATAGCCTTAATTGTAAACACATTGCCTGGTGTAAACAGTGTCCTACATGTGAGCTGGTTGAACTCAATTATTCAATCAGGTACGCTGAGAGAAGGAATTTTTTAATTTAGTTCTTATTCACTAAGGTTCTTTAGTATGTTCTCAGTGACACAGTAATGGGAAGTGTTATATATAGTCTTAAGTGCAAAATATTAATATATATTTAAAAATGTATCAACTTTTAGTTGATAGATTTGTTTTGGTTTATAAACATTAAAAAATTAAAAAAATCTATGTATAAAGTTAACTGTGCTTCTTTAGAAGATCTTTCACTCATATACAGCTTTAAAGTTTAGTAGCAATGCAAAATATGCACACTGTCTTGGTGATTTGCAGTCTTATGACTACTAAAACGTGGAATGTTACCCATTGTTTTTAATAGTCTGGGCCAGATCCCGCTGTCATTTACCTTAGTTATTCCTTATATCAGGTTTATGCTGGTGGACAGGATACCAAAATCTGGCTTCTACCGGGGCTTGAAAAGAAGTACACTGTATTTCAAATTTGTATACGATCAAATCAAGGACCATGGTCTCCTGATAGACTCTTTTATCTATCTATATCTTCTCTGCACTACTGAGTGTCAGACACCCATCTTTATTAAGCTTCTAGAAATATATAAAGAATGGAGAATATATCAGCTTCTTGACTGATGAAGTAAGCTTACTTCCCTCAATAATCAAATTAAATTAAATCACAGCCAAGGTGGGCTTTGTTGTCAGACAATCTGGGTTATGTCTGGATTCTATTCTCAACTGACAGCAATAATTGATAGTTACTCAGCACCCAGTTGATTTTATTTGCTTAGTTTCTTCTAAACTTACAAATGAACTTACAAGGGCCAATGCAAAATATTTGTCATGGTGTAATATTCCACCAATTTTTGTTTATATTTACACATACAGCATTACTCATTAATGATAAAACAGATTTTTCAAGTATGAAGTTCTGCATGTAATTCTCTTCTTCACTATGCAGATAGTCAAACTTATAGTGTGCATCATCAGAAGTGATACAACATACAACCATTTCCTCTTCTTTCTCTGCCACACTGTTCATCTTCTTTGAAAAGAATGATAAATATTCAACACTGCCATCAAAAACTGTCGTTGCAGTTTCTCTATAAGCAGAGCACTTGAAGGGGGAAATGATGTCCTCAACAGTGCATGCCTCATATGTACTTGGACTTTCTGGTCCCGTAGTTGAGATCATTTGACAAAGCCGAGAAAAGTTCTAAGCTCACCTCCTTTCCTTCCATGGAAAGTAAGTGTCAAAAGCAAAAGAACTATAAAGATTTTTCTCCAGTCTTCTTGTTAACCTTGTTGGTAGTGTTTGATTGTCTGCAAAAGGAGAATGAAAACAACAGAAAGTCCCATAAATGGGGACGTTTGAGAGTACTGCGTAAGGTCCACACAGCTTCATGACTGAGCAGCAAAATCCAAAGAGGAGTTAAATGCTTTGGTTGCCTTGAGCTAGCATGTCACAAGAAAGGTATGCTTTCCTTCCACACAGGTAAAAGTGCTTGGTAGCTCATGAAGTAGGAATGACACTCAAATTACTGATGGAAGGAAGGTAGAAATGTGAAATGTCTCCTGTCACTCATAGCACAGGTAATCAGAGGAAGCGCAGTCTCTCTCCTTAACAGTTTAAAGTCCTTCTCGGCACATAGGGAGGTTGACAAAGGTGAAGACGTTAAACTCTATCAATATAGAGAAACACAGGAAAACAGCATAAAGAAACAACACGTAGATGCCTAATTTCTTGTCAAGTTTCCATTTATTTACATGGATCCCAAACACCTGCAAGCAAACAAAGAGTTAATTAAGCCTCAAAGGAGACTTCTGGAAACAACTGTAAGCTAAAAATGACAATGATCTCCTGAAGTAGAGATCCTGGACCAAGATAAAATTATACTCTTGGCATTTTACAGAAAATAAATCAAAATACTTCTTTTTTTAAATAAGTATGTAGGAACCCAATCCAATAACTCAAACTCTGGCCTTACTCTCACTTGTCTGAAGAACCCTTTACAAAACATTAAATGAACCCACTTTAAAGCCACTTGAGAAGTTCTTCATGTAGCAGAGAAGTTCTTCACGGGTGCTCTGTTTCAGAGGATAGTGCATTTTCAGTACATCAGGCACATTCTAGTCAGGCAGCATTCATTCTCTGCTTCATTATGAACTAAGGGAATACACTAAATATGCCTCTCCCTCCAGCACTCCCTTATACACCCTTTACAGTTGAACACAAGCATCTAATGTTCATTCTTTCAACAGCTTTGGAAGTTTCTTTCTTTGACATTTTACTCAGCTCTCAAACTAGGGGGAATGACAAGCTACAAGCAGTAAAGCAATTAAATCCACATGAAGGCTCCCCTATTTTCAGTGGTGCTATGAGTCTCTGCACTGATTTTTGCTATGGGAAGATCTGGGGGAATTAGGGTATTCAATAGAACAAATCAGACAGTAGATGACTTGAACTCAGATGATATGGCTGCAAAGATTTTTTTCAGAAATCCCTGAGTTACTAGCATAGTAACATCTGCATAACCCTCCCATGTATTTGAAAGTGCTGGTTAACAATACACATGCAGCAATATCAGATACAAACGTCTAAAGAATGTTGTTGCTCCACAGGCACCGTGCAGTATGGCACAACTACAGATAGGAAAAGTAAAGAACAGGCTCCCACAGCTTGTATTAGCAGATGCACTAGGAAGTTAGTGGCAAAGTGAACAGACCCGGACATTCTATCATTTAAGACATGCACAGGTGATGTGAAGTTTGCTAAAACCTATCCATGCAACAGTGTAGCATCTCCAGTGATGATCCCCTCCTTTACAAGGGTCTCCACAGGCAGTGAAAGATATAAGTGGGTATTTTTATACCTTTGGGATTTGATTCTTTCCACAGATGGCTCTCTGGAAGTCAGCAAGATCACAGTACCCTAAGTACCAGCAAAACTGACTTTTGAAGCAGAACTACTGTTTCACCTTAACAAGTCAGTATTATAAGGGTGAGTGGTACTTAACATGCATATTCAACGTCCTGAGGTTCACAGCCCTCACAGACTAGTCTTCATTAAGGGTTCTGTCTACAGAGCATTGTTAGTCTAGGCTGGTTTAGAGATGGGAGGATGAAAAAAAGGGAGGAAGCATACCTGGGTCTTTCCCAGCACAGAGTACAGACAGACCTAGGGTATGCAGCTGGACACAGGACCAAAGGAACATTACTGGATCACATAATGTCAATACTGACATGAAATCAAAGGGATCTACACACTTCTAGCAACTCTTTTGCACCAAACATCAGATTTCAGTCCTGCCACTGGAAGACAATTCTACTCATGGCATTATTTTAAGAATAGTACTTTAAAAGAATCAATACTTTAGGGATGATGAGTACTTCCAGTTTTTCCTTGTAGAATACTGGAAGTAAATATCTGATAATTATTTTGCAATCAGAATAGTCTGAAGAGTCACATTCAGAAACACGCTAATACTTACAGTCAGTGCCACTGATCCTAGTAAAAGTGCAACTGAATAGACCAGTCCTTTACTGTTTATCTTAACCTGTGTGAATTAAACAGAGAAGAGACCTTTAAATTACCCAGAATAGGAAAACCTTTTTTTACAGATCAGAAATAAATGTACTGATTTATAGTAATCCACCTTCTGCCTTGAACTGTGACTGACTTAAACTATGGAAATCCACAACAGATTTATAATGGAGAATGGGAAGGTTAAGGATTTAAAGCAAATGTTAAGGAATCCCAATTCTAAAAAGAAAGAAAATAGCATGTATAATGGATTTCAAGTTAAAAGATCCTCATGAGAGAAAGAGGTGTTATTTTCTAGTAGTTTCTAGATGTTGTTATTGTTATTTTATCTTACAAAAATACTAAAGTACAGGGAGACAGATATGCTTGAAGTTGTGCAGTGAGAAAATGACAGTGCCATGAAAGATATATATGGCCCTATTTTCTGGTACAGAATGTAATGTACTCCGTTTGACAAACTGGGAATTGCAACTTGTGGAAGGATCATTGCTAGTGTAACTCCTGGCAAAAAAAACCCAACACAACACCTTATTTAGTAACCAATAAAATGCTAGCACTTGCTTTGTTAGATCAGCTTTTATTTGCATGCTTTCTTTTTAGGATATGATGGTGGTTTTTTTGTTTGTTTTGTTTTAAATAGAGAAAAGGAAAACACTAGAAATATGCTCAGTATACATACAGTTGATCCATAATCAATTGCCATGGTCTGCAAACCCCACGGAACACCAAGGCCCACCAGAATGTCAAACACATTACTTCCTATTGTGTTGGATACTGCCATGTCACCAAGGCCTGCAAAGGAAAAGCAAATTTCAGGTGAAAAAAGGAATAGAATCAATACTCTGTATCCAGAGGAAATTAAAGAGGACTGATTGGCATTGATCCAAGCCCTTTTGGACTGGCTAGAGTATCTGAGGTAAGGAGACAATTTTCGTAATTGGAAATTATATTTAACGTTGGCTGACATCCCTTTCTGCACCAGTAGTTCTACGGAAGGCAGAATCCTCTTCCTCTGCTACTTCTCCTTAAGGACCAGCCTTACTACTGAGTCACTTCTACAGAATGCATACCAAGAAGAAAGAGGAACTCTGATGTATGGGACAAATCCTGCAAATAGTCAGAGCACACAGAGTAGAGACAGACACTGCTGGATCACAAATACAGTCTCTATTTAAAGGAAGAAGGAAATATTATGCTTTCAATCTATTTTTTATGGCAGTACCCCTCTCTAGTCTTTAGATATTTGTCTGCAATCCGCCTTGTAACCATTTTTCTTGATTCCAAGTACTGCAAAAATGCTGTCCTTCAATGAGAAAGGATGCTTGTCCACAAGCTACCACTTAGCTTCACTTTCAGAGGAAACAATCCTTAGACTAGTTTTGCCTAATATTAAGGAAGAATTAATCTAAAGCAGTTCATTTAAAAACATGTTTTTCTTCTGTTCCTTCAACAATCTGTTTGCTTAGTACTACATACGGAAAGCTAATCTAGTCAGAAGGCAGTTCCATAAAAATCTTGAATACTTCTGTGAGACTCAATGCTTTTATGAGATTTTTCCTGCACACAAAAGATAATATAAGCTGCAGAATGAAGTATCTTAATTCTTAATTTTAGTAAAGCAACATTTAAGAGTACCACTTCTATCTCAAAGGTGGTACATTTGGGTGCTTAACTTATCACTTCAGAACCCTTGCTGTTTGCCCAATTATGTGTTCTGGAGATCTCATTATCTGGAGAAAAAAAAAGAAAACAACAAAACACTGCAGGGATCGGAGTAGTGAAAAAGAATAAAATCAGGACAGGTTCTTATTCCACTGCAGTAGAGGAGATCGTACTTTCAGGTTTAATGTTTTTCAACAACAGGAAGGCATGTGGCTACAGACATTTCTCAAAAAAGGAAATGTAAAAAAACCTTCACAGAATGTTAAAGATACATGAAAAAAGAATTTAAAATTTCAATTGAAAACTCGATGATGACATAACTAACGTTTATCTAAATCTCTTCCAGTGCTACTTTTCATACATTCCAAAGGGAAAGAGATTTGCCTTTTGATGAGAAGTATGCTTGGAGCAACACCGTTATACTAGATCATCTTAGACTACTTCACTTCCCTGGGTTCAATAAATCTTCTAGAAATCAATACAAGTTTTATATGGAACAGTGCTGATTAGCATAGATTTCTCAACACAATGTTTTAATAGCTGATATTTCAGTTTTGTCTACTACTTCTATCTTTTTATTCAGACTGACACATACCATGCATGAGATAGCTAACTGTCAAATGGCCATCTGGAATGCTAGGCTGTGCCCAGTTCCAGTGAGTAAAAGGTAACAGGATAGGGAAGATTTTTTGGCACACAGTACTTAGCAAAGTGTTCTGTTTTTCATCTAGGCTCTGAAACAGTACAAATAAAAATAATTAAAAATAATAAAATTGCACTGAAGGTTTGTGTGCACTGAAGAAGCAAATCATAGAGCATGTATGTAGGACTGCAGGTATCCTTCTGCAGATACAGTACCTTGTCTCGCAACTATTAAGCTGGCCATGCAGTCTGGGACGCTTGTTCCTGCAGCTAGGAAAGTAATGCCCATGATCACATCTGGTATCCCAAGGGTATATCCAATCACAGTCACCTGAATGGTAAGGAAAGGAGATAAACCTGTCAGATTTCAAAAGTCTCCTCAATCCAATACTACTGTAGCATAATTTGATCTCTGGTGTAGATCCTCGAAGAATTAGACTCAAGATCCGTGTCTGCAAATGAAGTAAGTGTGGAATAACTAGCCTAAAATCAACCTTGTGAAAAAGAAAAGGACCTTGGATATAGTCTTCAACATTTTTGAGCAAACAGTAAGCTCCACTTTTTGTACTTCTAAGAGGATGTACTGATCTTTTAAAGAGGAGCACAGACATGGAGTCAATCTGTGGTTTTGCTTTTATTTTATACCCAATAATAGCAAGATTGTTATTGCTTCTTTTCGAAAAAGGATTGGAATCAGTTTATAATGCGATACAGTGTCAGAGACGTAAAGAAATTATTATATTCCAGCACGTGAAGAAAGAAACAGTTTTTCAAATAACTCCTGATATAATCCCAAAGTGAGCAGCTCTGATAATATTTTCCCCTGAGAGTCCAGATGCAGCTTTTCAACTATTAAGGGAAGAGCTGAAGCTTGTCGCAGAACTCTTGGAAAGGACAGGGAACATTATTTAACTGGAACATCCAAAGAAGACTGAAAAAAAGTGAAGAGAAAAAAAAACACCAACAGTCAACTGAGCATGCAAAAGAAACAGCCCTCTCACAGTGAGAGTGAGAAGACCAAAGCAGGAAGAGACAGCTCCTTCCTTGCAGAGAATACCAAGGGTGAGAGTCTTCAAGTCTCTGTGTTGTTTTCTTGAAATAGCTTGTCAGCCTCATGCATGAGGAAGATTGGACCCTTTGCCAAGAAAAAGGTGTACTTTAGAAACCCACTCACAAACTTTTGTATTCTCGTAGCTCAGAAATAGAAGGAGGCATGATTCTCCTGTTGTAAATGGTAATACTATAAGGTCTGGCGGCATCTTAAAGTAAGAGGTGTTGCAGCTTTGGCGAGCATGTCTTGTCTGTGAAGGGGACATCTACAAATGGAACCAAGGTGCAGAGCATGGTCTGACAAAGGACATATGGTATGAAATGAATGTGTGGTTTTGGCACTATTATACCAGCAGAATGAGTGGCTGGCATATGGATCTCTCAACCTTCAGAGAGAGGGGGATTACTTTATAGTGCAAAACATTATGTATCAAGTGTGTATTAAAAACAGAAGGAAGCATAAATATAAAGCAGTCTGCAAATGTCTGACACATTTGGAGAAGGTATGAATGTTTTCCACCCAAAAACTATTTTGCAAATAAGTTCAGTAACAAAAAGTCTTCCATATATACAACTATAAGAGTATACATGTGGCTATGAATGCATATGCTTATACAGCTGTATATTCTTCAGCACAAAACAAGATGTCTACTTCTTCACTTTATTTTCCTTTAAAAAGAAAAATGACCACAGAATTCTTCGGCAATACATCTACCTATCTCTAGCTACGGGAATATACAGCTGTGTGGGTTTGCATTTTTAGTGCAGAAAAAGGTAACTTTCTATATTTCAAAAATATAGTTCCCACCACAGAAACTAGATGAGGAGCTTTTCTATTCATTTAATTTCACTTCACTTTAAAGTCACTTAACTCTGACTGAAAATGTGAATTTGATAACCTGAAGGAGGGTAAAAAGAAAAAAACATAAACCTATTTAATACTTCCAGTAAATGATCACAATTCACAGATCTACACCTGATATACTGCTTCTCAAAAAAAGGGTAAATGGAAACATATAAGAAAGTATGATATGAAGTATGACAGTCTTTCTCAAAGAAAGACTTTCTTGAATTATTCCACTCTACTTGAGGAGGTTTATAGCACTTCAAATTTTGCCATCCATCTGCCTCTTATACATGTTTGTTTCAGTATCAGACCATACCACTCAATTTCTAAAGGTGTCTAAGAATAGCTGTCAAGAGCTGAATACTTTCATTTAAATTCCCTTTCTTCAGTAGCATGTGAAGGACAACATCATTTGAAAATCAAGTTGTATTGGGCACTATACAGTAAAGGACCAATAATTTGTGCAGAAAAGAGTAGTAGAAAGATATAATTTTAATAATTAAGAGTATAAACTGAAAAGACCACACTATGATTACATGTCTTTAACAAATACACAAAAGATCTACGATCTATTTTGAAATTCAAATTTTACTCTCTATGGCAGGTTTTGCTACATGGACTTACCATCCACACCATAAAGTAGGAGAACAAGGCAATCCAGAGAGTGGATAAGATGAATGTGAACATAAACCACCTCTCCCAGCGGGGTTTGCTGCAGTTTGGAATGGTGCAAAAGAGCACGAATATCAATGGCCATGTCAAGATCCATTTAATTTTATTCATTTTTCCTTCTGCAGGACAAAAACAAAGGAAAAAACTAGTTTAATTTTTTCATTAGTATCACAGGCCCAGACCCCTCTGAACACAGCAGATGACAAGATCTCAGAAGGCTGGCTACAACTGTGCATGTCAGCTCATTTTCCAGCATACCTTTTATCTACGCTTGCTCTCTGTTTGCACTCTCGAGCAAATTCTGCCCTTGCATGCACATCCAGAATCTTAATGCTAAGCCTGCCAAAGTGTACGTAAATCCAAGTAGGATTTACAAGGATTTAAAAGCATGGCTGCTTTTATAACCAAAATGAATGTTCTGATCTACTGCACTTTCAAATACCTGCATTACTATTAACCCAGAAGCAAAATTAAACAAACAAACAAACAAACAACAAAACAGTATTTTAAAAAGAAGATGAAAAACCTTATAATTCAAATAACCTGCGGCTTACATGCAGCACCAGAAAATACGTGCAGACCCAACCTGTAAACATGAAAAACTGCTTTCACGTATCCAAATGTGGACACTTGGGCAGAACTTCAATCTAGGCCTTATGAGATGCAGATTTGTTAACTCTCCAGTTGCACACAGTTCCACCCTGGGTTAGTCTCCTTATCCTCTATAAAGCAATGACTTGTACAGCTCACTGAAATTAACAAGTGAGCAATACCAGACCACTGTCACTACTAATGAAGGCAAGAAGAGATTTTCCAATTTTTCAACAGAAGTGAAGTTGTTTAAGTAAAATCCTGAAGGGAAGGTAATAATCAGGGAAAATCCCCATCAGTTTTACCAGAAATTTTCTTTCTAAAACAACGCTGTAAGTTAGGACTTGTTCAGTGCAAGTTTTTTGTCAATGAATTCAACTGAATCATATCTGTCCTCTACCAACGTGTACCAGACACAAAGATATCAAACATTAAACCTTTGAAAATTAATAACACTTTTCCAATTTATGAGATTTCTTAATAGTTGTCCAAACGCAAGTCCTCATTCATTTACCAAGATGCATATCCTAGTGCTGAGTTAGAGATCAGCTCCTTAAGATTTCCTTGTGGATTCTAAGATGCCATTAACCACTGACTGTTTGGCTATTTATTCCCTTTTAGCCTGTGGCCATGGAACTTCTAATGCAAAAAAGGTACTAAAGTCTCTTCATCCAACCCTACTTCTACATTTTTACCATGACTCTGTGAATGTAACACAGATTTTACAGGTAAGACTTACACCCTAGTTACATGTACCTTTACACAAGTTTTAACAACACTAATTTTTCTGTTCTGTCCAGAAAAAGAAATGACACTTTTTAGATCATGACTCACTAACTTTATTAAAGAGGCTGTAAATATCCTATGGCATTTTATACCTCCTCCTGTTCAATTTGTTTTGGTTTGGATCATTAAAAGACTCCTGCTGGTTAATTTGTGCTCTGTGTACCCATGCTGCTAAGCCTGGGTCATAATCAAACAAGTCAGTATGGCCCATGCGGATAATTTCCTCAGTAATAAATTCCAAATGCAGGGTGAGTGGGCGACTGTTTGACAGCAAAAAATTACGGATCTGATTCTGATCTGATGTTGGCTAAATCTGAGTGACTTCACTGGTGCTACACGCAGGGGATTCAGGCTCATTTATCTTTCGGATAACATGAAAAAAGAAATAAAATTGCCTGTGGAACAAACAGGGAATAAAGAGATGCTCTCAGCCTCTGTTGGAGAATATGTATCTTGTCACAGATCCCACCTAGTGTACTGAATTACTTAAACAAACGCTTAACTGTGAGAACTGCAGGCCTTATTGCTGGCATTGCTGTGCTTGCTCAGGTCCAGGAAAACAGAAACGTTGGTGGAGAACTACATGCCTTCCTTGTATTTTACTAGCGATGCTCTATCCACAAAAAACCTGAGATAAAACTGCATTGTAGAGCCACACAGTTCATAGAGGTGATGTTTGTATTCATCACATATCAAGCAGGTTTGAGATTTTCGGGACCAGAAACAGCAATTTTGGGTTTTGCTGGGTTTTGTTGGCTATCTGCAGTTAGGAATAGTTCTGAGCTTTTATACTGGCTTTTATACTGGCTGTTCTTTTATAAACTTTTATATAAAGCCTTAAATGTATCTAGCCTTAGTTCTCCAGCTCTTACTACATTGGGACTAGTGTGGCACTCAGTGCTGAAGAAGTTGTATGCTCTTAAGCTATAACTTGATGGTTTAGTAAGAATGTAGTACATTTAGCTGCAATTTCAGTAAAGTGCAACCTCTTTTCCTTCGGATCCTGATGCTTTCATTCACATCACCTGGCTAAACTGAATACACAAACAACATCCAGGTTGAAAAGTTCTTTTAAAACTACTTATTGTGCTGCTCTGTCATTGTTTGCTTGGTTTTCTTTCTTTTTTTTTTTTTTTTTTGACTGCTCACTCTAGAATAGCTAAACATGTCAAATTGTTTAATGATTATTTAGCTTCCTAGTATATCTGCAAGGAAGAAAAATTTTCATCCTCATTAAGCCTATTATTTAATTCATAGCTGTTCTATAAAAGTACACCAACAACCCTATCACAGGATGTTAGCTCAGTTGTTTTACAAGCAGTACCAGCTACTCCTATGAGCCCACGGTCTGAAGGCTGCTGGATCGACTCACAGCTGAGGAAAGGTGCATTTTGCTGCACTTTCTTATGAAAATAATGAGAGAATACTGCTTTATTATAGAAGACAACACCATTATAGAAGAGCCTATTTACAATGTTTCTAAAAATGCAGAGAGAGCCCTACAGCAAAGAGTCCTTCATTAAATCTCAGCACATTTCTGGGCTTGTCATCTTTCCAGATGTTCTCAGCATTGATCACAAGAACTATTTTCACATACATATAGGGTACTGTTAAAAGAAGTCAAAAACACACCTCGCAGCACTAATAAGAAAGGATTATTTTCCTTAAGGCACGATGGAAAGTGACTTTGTATAGGAAAAACACTATCCTATTTAGAACATTCACATAGAGTAGAGAAGCTTCCAATTTACTGCTTTTGGTTTGCAAGGCAGGGCAGCCCTGGATCACACCAATGAAATTCCACTGACATATAATTAGAGGCACACACCTAATGTGCTCTAAATAATAATGAGCAATTTAGTCCATGGGATCATGCTGGAGCTAGCCCCAAAGATAACTTCCAAATGCTTATAGTGTAGATAACCTCAGTCAATAAGCTGCATGGAAAACACTCAGTGAATTTAGACAGACTCCACTTGGTCTTCCCTTTAAAAGAACAGCAATCTAGCACAGACCACAGCTTCACACATTGACTACCTCAGAACACGTCTTTAGAACACTGGAATGTCTACAACTTTCAAAGGGAAAAAGGCATCTTCTAAGGCAATTTAGTAGTTGTATGATCTAAAGCAAAAGCTACTACATCCCTGAAAAACATCAATCTAATTGGCACACAGAAATTTCATAACTATAATGTTATGAATCCCTTCACATTTGTAACTTAAGGTAACTTGAAAGATAGGAAAGGTTTTCTCTAAGTTTGCCTGTAAAACAAGGAATGTTTTCTGAAGTTTACTTCTAATTTCTATTTTTCTGTTTTTTTGTTTTTTTGAATTATTTTGACACCAGTAAATTTACAATAAAAATTAAGGCATTTCATAGCCAGCCTAGGACATTCATGCTGTACTTTGTAATCTTTGTAATTTTTTAATTACTTTTTTTTTTTTTTTTAATCTTTGTACATCTCTCTACCATTTATCATTAGTAAAAAATGAACAAACATGTTTTTCCCCCGCTGAAAAGTGATTTTCAAATCACCTGTCTGCTGGGTCCTAATTAGGCTTTTTACTAGAGATTATATTTATACTCACATATCATTAGCAACATTAATTCAAATCTTGACCTGAAAATGTATTATGAGCAGCACACACACCTCCACATGGGAACTTCACAAAAATTCAGACAGTGAGTATATTACTGCTAGAAAGTTCTGCGATTTATTAGAGTTTAGAGTGACTGGAAAAATTTAATATATGTAAATTAGCCAATCTGAGAGCTTAATTAATTCCAGAGCATTTCCAAAACACATCAGAGGAACATCAATTTCTGTCCAAGTATGGAACTAGCACTGACGCAACGAGAAGAGATGCAACAAACATTGTGAATTTTCCATCAGAATTATTTTCCACTGAAAAATGCCTCTGCTGTGAAATTAAAAATCCTAAGTAAATCTAAGTAAATGCTTCTAAATTTGCTGTTAGGAAAATTAACACAGAAACCGCCCCTCAGGCCTCTTGGAAACTTGCAGCTGATTTCAATTCTCCACGTTTCTCTAGGAACTGTGGAATCAAGAGACTCTGCATTAATGCACTACTGCCAGCCTATGCAGCAGATAGAAAGGGATCCAAGAAGGCCTTGCCTTTGTCAGTCTTCCAACTGGGCAGCTGATATGTTAAAACACTGCTATTTCAATCCTTCTGCAACTTTGAGCTTTGGAAACAATTTTTTTTTCCTCTGAAAAATACTGAGGTTTTACTTCTCACCCTCATTCAAAACAGACTGTTTTCCAAAATATTAAGACTTCTCTCAGAAGTTTCATTTTCCAGAATGCAAGTTCCAAATTCCAGACAATGAGATCTGTCCCAAACAACCCATGCTTCTATTCTGAGTCTGTACCTTTGCCACTCCTTGCATGTTCAGATTTATACCAATAATTTTACACATCTTTGGTGTACTGGGAACTGGTACACCTGAAAAAAAGACTTTGCACCATTTGCAGAAACAAGCTTTACTCTCAGAGTTACCTTAGGTTTACACAGGACAATATTCAACAAAAATTAAAAGTAACTGAGCAGGGTGCTCACTATATCTTTTTGTCTTGGTTGGATTTTGGCATAATTTAGTTTTATGTTTTTACTGTGCCATCTACATTATCAATTTTTTTAAAGGGAGAAGTGGGATTCATTGAATTTTTCAAGTTCTTCTTTTCCCTTTCAAAATGATGAGCAAACATAATAGAGTTACTAAATTAAACTTCACCTATTTTTCTGCTGATTTCTCCTGTATTTCTTCCTACATAGAACACATTAGCTGCTTTCCTGGAACACTTTTTCCAGTTTAGTTTTCTACAAAAGGAGTCTGCTTCATGAGATCCAAGAATACAGTTCAAATCAAAAGGCAGTATATATGAAAACCAGCAAGATCTGCCTCAAAAGAACTCGTGAAATAAAATTCTGTTGTAGATGTGCTATTACACAGGCATTAGGTAAGAGGAAGCTCTCCCAAAAATGCATTTTAGAATACAGCAGTTAAGTCCTGGTCTGAAATATCTTCTTGGAAGAACTTCTCTCATTCCTTAAGTTGAAAACAGCAAAAGACCATCAGGGTAGTAGGACCTGAATTTGTCTCATTCTTCTCCAGCTTTCTTCATACAGTCATGGTTGGATTTAGAATATTGGGCTAGGTGAAGATTTATTTTGACTCAGTACAAATACTTTCTACAATTTTAGTAGATACAGTTAATTCCTTTCTGATTTTGTTCTATATGTTGTCTTCATACTTTGGATCCATACAAAAATGAGCAGGATTGGTAATCTCCTTTATTGCTATCTTATTTTAGCTTCAGGAATTAATACTCCTGTTTTAGCTAACACCATAATGACTTATGTAAAGCATCATTGGTCCAATCCTATAAGAGATGGAATTCTTCATTTCTGTGAAACCAGTAAGAGCTGAGAACACTTTGTGTTTTAAAGGATCTTGAACATGTGACAATGAATGAGATTTAAGCATCCATTAAGTGCTGCACAGAAGTGCTTTTCTGAGTCTGGGCTCTAAAACATTACTGAGCTATTCACAGGCTTTTACACATCATTTTGTTGTTAACATATGCCTGCTCAATTTCATCCTGCTTTATTCTAATCCTTTTTTACCCCCCTAAAGTCTAAGACCTGTTTCCAAACAAGTGTACAGTAACAGAACAGTAAAGCATCAAATCATCCTTTGTCTCAGAAGATAATTACTTATGCCATTACTGGTTAGATCTATAAGTGAATTCCTCTTCCAAAGAGAACATTTCTACCCACAGAGAAACAAGAGAAAAAGGCTGTTTTGCATGATGACATGTACTTTCCATAAAAACTACATACTGTATCCTGTTCCTAAAAACTACATACTGTTTCCTGTTCCAAGACAGGCCTGAACCACACCCTGAGGCTGAATATCTTGGAATGTCTGACATATGGAATCTAAGCTAGAGATGAGTTACAACTATTTTCATGTGAAAATGTTTTCCTCTATTTCTGTGTGCTAAAGTCCTCCTTTTATTACTAAGCATCACCATGTAAATCTTACAGATGGCAAATAATACCTGGGCATTAGTTAAAGATGATGCATTAAAAACCTTTATTTATTTATTTTTTTAACTTCAGAAAAAAATTGTTCTTGCAAAAGGATGTAGAACATACAATTTGAGGGAGGGAAGCCAAACTCCAAAATAGGCTAAAATAGATGACTAAAGAAAACAGAAGATAAAGGGTTGGGACACTTTATAGCCACTTTGCAGTTGCAATTCTTTAAAAAATTGGAGTGAATTTTCTACTTATTACAGTGCAAGCAGTTGACTTGGGAAGTCCATTCAGTGCTTATTCTTCATAGAGCTCTTTATGGTACTGAAAGAATAGCTTGAAAATACATCAAAAGAAAAATAGAGGGGATTTTGGGAAATTGTCTGCAAAACTACCTTTTCCCTAAAGCCAATTTCAAACGACAGGATTTTTTTTAGGCTACTGATTGTGTCACAGCACTTAAACAACGAAGAATGATACTGTTTATGTTTTCCCCAAAGTTATTTGAAATGTACTTCTGAAAGCAAAAATACAAGAATTTTCCCTCAGAATATAATCACAGAATCATAGAATATCCCTTGTGGGAAGTGAACCACGAGAATCACTGAGTCCAACCGCTGGCTCCACACACTATCACTCAAAACCCAAACAATATTTCTGAGACTGTTGTCCAAATACTTCTTGAACTCTGGCAGCTCGGGGCTGTGCTCACTGCCCTGAATAACCTGTTCCATGCCCACCACTCTGTGATGCAGGACCTTTTCCTATCACCCAACCTGGCCCTCCCCTGATACAGCTCCATGCCATTCCCCCAGGTCCTGTCACTGTCATCAGAGAGCAGAGCTCTCAATTGTTCCCCAGTAGGAGCACAGCACTGCTGCTAGCTTCAAACTAGCCCTAAAAAGAGCTTTTTGGCTCTTGTTAAACTTCAAGTGATTTGTGATTGCCCAGCCCTTTAATTAGACACTGTCTTTCAGCAAGGCCTCCCTACCTTCTAGAGAGTCAACAGCACCTCCTAATTCAGTATCATCTGCAAACATCCTGAATATGTCCTCATGACTATTGTGTTCCCTGAAGAGAGTGGGCACTAAAATGCAGTCCTGGAGATCCCCATTAGTGACTGGTCGCCAGTCTCACATAACCCTATTTTACTATAACCCTCTAGTCAATTGTTTCCATTAGTCAACTGTTCATCCATCATGCTATGAACTTGGTTGGCTATATGCTGAACATTTTGATAATGAGAGACAGTATCAAAGACTTCGCTAAAAAGATCACATTTACTAGTTTCCCTCAATCAACCAGAAAGATGACTTTGTCACTAAAGAAAGCAAGTTAGTTATGCAGGACTTTTCTGTAATAAACCCACGTGGGCCATGACCAATGACTGCACTGTCTTTCAAGTGTTTTCCAATAACTCCAAGAATGATCTTCTCCATAATTTTAACAGGCACTGAAGTGAACAGTTAAGTTGTGATGACTATAGGTTATCATCTTCAGACAGTAGAGGAATAACAATATCTGAAAACAATGATAAGGATTCAAGTGATGTTAATGCCATTAACATTTTTACGCAAACTCTGAATTCACAATGAACCTTTGCTCCATTCCAGTAAAACTGAATCATCATTGTTTCCACTGTGGCTTGTTACACTTAATTTTCTTGAGGACTTTCTCAAAAATGCAGAAAAACTGCATTAAGAGAAGATCAATGACATAAGTCTCAACACTCTTCTTGTTCCAAACATTTAGTCTATTGTGCATGTCACACACTTAGGAAACTCCATTCCGAAGTGTGTTTTTTATTCAAAGAGAAGTTGTCTGAATCTTGAATAAATCAAAACATGGCAATTTGATCCCCAGGTAATGTTTGCCAAATGTCAAGAATTCTGCATTGTCTTGGAATGTAAAAATAAATGCACAATTGTGCAGTCCAATTAAAACTTGATGAAAAACACCACTGTTAAAAAATCTTCTTTGCCAACACGTGCATTCAAACCTGCATATTTAAAATGCTTTGGTTTTGGTTTTTTTTTGCAAAAGTGTATTGCTAACTTGGATCCACTTATTTTACCATGCAATAAAAGGTTTTTTTATGCTCTCATTCATTATCAGGAGCACAGCTAATGAGCCCATCAGTAGTGAATGAGTTTGATTCCTGCCCTTTAACCTCAATAAAAGCTTGTAACTGCTGAATGCAAGAAGATCCTCTAAGAGAACCCAGCACAGTAACACATCAAAACACAGTTTTATCCAGTCTTCACATAGCTTGCTTCACTATTTGCTCAGTCACAAATCTCTCTTTCAAACTGATGGCAAGTGAAGCAATGGAACCCTAAAGAAATCAGAACTGTCATAAATGGAAAATTCTTCCTTCTCTGTTTCTATGTGATATTCATCTATACTGCGAAATCTTGGGGTTAAACAGTAAGTGTGTGAGAGATTACCAGTGACTACATATTTGTGATAGCTGATCTAATCTCTGCTGTCTAATCTCCAAAACATATGAGGAGGACTCAACCTGTAATGCTATGCTATGGGCATCAGCATTGTGAGGTTGTTTATATATAGCCCTTCACACCAGTTTCTAAAAAATTTCAAAAGCTTTTTCAAAAGTTATTAGATACTGCCATTTTAAGAATTTTAAACATCTTCAAAAGCATTAAAGATTACTTATCCTTCTAAACCCTCCTTACTCTTTGTTTAAGACTCCCCTGTAGTCACTATATCAAGTTATAACACATTTATATACCTAGCTGCCTCTGTCCTTGTAATTTCCAGCAGAGCAGTATTAACAGTTCACTTCAGAATTGCAATGCAGACTTTGCCAGCTTGTTGTGTCAAATTTTTGAACATAAACCTACCTTACTTGCTTTCTCTTCACTTCTGGCAAATCAGGATTTCAATGGTGCATGATGGTTGGAAAACACATCCCTAAGATCTGCTTTTGGTCATTTAGCCTCCATATTTTACTGTCATGAAATCCAACCTCTAGACAGTCAAATCTTATCCTTTCCTCCTCTTATTCCCACATATATTGTCTATTCCAACAACCCACTACTTGGCATTTTAATTCTCTTGTTTCCTTGCCGTAAGCGTCTGGAAAATAAAGTTTACCTGGCAATGAAAACAGAGACAGATTATCCTGTTCATTTTCCTCCTCTTGGTTCACCACAGGAATGTTCCCATTTTCAATATTCTGATGTCTCCCATTCTGAAGTGGTTTGCTTGAGCCATTTGCAGATTGGATTAATCGCTGGCGCTGCACAGTATTGAAGACAAAACTGCCGTAAGTTTCATTCTTGACTTTTTTACACCTTGGTTTTGCTACCTGTCCAGCTCAAGTCACATGAGCCGTGATGTTTCTCCACAAAGCCTTTCTTTGCCAGCAACAAGTAAATCTGTCTGAGGTCTACCTGTTTGCATGAGATCAGTGTTGACACACACCCCAAAATTAGTGCCATGTGTACTGCAAGCCACGATCGACAAAGTTGTATCTTTTCTTACACATCACATTTTAATTAGATTGGCTATTCTGAAGCACTTCTCACCCAGCAGTTCCCACTCAAACCAGAGACAGCATCATAACATAGTGGTAACAACCAAAATGTTTCTACCCTATTAAAGATGGCTTACTAATTGTCTGAGATCTCTCCTACAGAGGTCCAACTCTTCTGCCTCCTTCTTATCCCCATTCCTTCTGCTAAATGTAGGTACTACAGTACTATTTCAAAAGCAAGATTAACTTGCATTGTCCTTGTTCAAGCACATAAACTCACACAAAGCTCATATGTTGCCCCTCCAGACTGTTACATTCAAAATACATAGTACAATTACAGTGAGAGTATATATCAGTATATATACTACTTACTATGCTGGAGAATGTGAAATGTAACAATAATTTCCTACTCTGGTATTAAAAAAAAATAATTCACTTTGTTAGGTGAGATAACAGAGTTGATAAATGCCATCTTTTTAATGGCAAACTATCGCACCTTCATATAAACTTCTCTGATTTGTCTGGAAAAATAAAATAACTGAATGACATGCAAAAGAAATCTAGTATTAAAACACAGTAATTAAAATAGAGAAAACTCTGCAAAGCTTTGGCAGTGAGAATACATAACAATACAGATTCAAAATGCCCTGATGTAGAGAATGTTTTCTGCAGATATTGAGCAGTTAGCAAGCATCAGCTCCCTGGGCACATATACATTAAGAAATATTCATTTCTGATAAATGAATTGCTCTGAAGAAACACTTTTACAGAGACAGCTGCTATTTTGTGTCCTATCTGATCTTTCCCCTTTTAACTGTACATCATGCAAGGTCAGAACAGTGTCATTTGGCCAGTCCTGTCACTCCAGCTGCAGGGTATGAAACAAGCAATATACAGTGGTGACAAGGCTTTAATTAAGAGCTAACCAAAACTGTTCAGAGAAAATCCTCTCATGAAAGGATTTTAGTGCATTTTCATTTTGAGTCAATGACTACAGTGAAGATTACAAAGGCAAGCAAACATCTGTTGTGTTCCTGATGCACTGCTCATAAAAGAGAAGTTCTTACAGACTTCTGATTGGCCTGCCCGCTGTTCTTTCTTATCTTGATCACTTCTGTAATGGTCAAAAACAATTCTTCTGCAGATAAAATCCAAATGGTGCATACACACACACACACACTGAACAAACATCTGGCAGGAAGAGAAGGGAATCTCTCCCTGGTGACTGCCCTTCTACTAAGACAGACAGCATAACCAACTGGGAACTCACCTTCAGTTCTGCTGTGACATAGGTAATTGCAGAAAATTCTAGCCCATACCCAGAAATATGGTAGAAGCTCAATTCCACAATCACTATGACTCTTGGGCAACCACTCTGCATCAGATACTTATTGTTTTCGTAACAAACCTACCTCATTAATTATAATCCGGCTTGCCATCCGCATTCTGGTGCGTGGTCCAAACTTATTTGTGATCATAATCCGTAACCCAGCTTCAGGGAACCGGTATTTGGGGGGACTGGAGCAGATGATCTCATCCACCATCACAACACTGTTTTTGCCATACTGCTGCACACCCTTCACTAATGACCACAAATGGACAGAGTTAGTTGTCAGATCCACTCTTCCCATTCCCAAATTTGTTCTCTTTAGGCACAGATTAACACTAAAAGTGAATATGTGAATTTACCAGTGATTTTCCTGCAATATTTCTGCAGCCTGGTGAACTCGTTCATCACGAGTGGTGCATCTCATTTAGACCACATGTTGAAAAGTGATTTCACTCCAGTAAAGCAGCCACCAACATGCTCTCAGATGCCCACTTCTGATGTAGCTCCATTTTATTTTATTTTTCTATGGCTTTGTAAGCCTTCTCCAAAAGCACGTACGTTGTGAAAGCACAGATAGCACTCCCAAAACCTATAAAGCTATCCTACTTGAGTAGGGTGCTTAATAGATACTAATGCACAACCAGTAGTCCTCAATGTTTTGTTTGCTTATCTTGGAAAAGAATGCACAGAATATTATCATATGTTAAACATAAGATTTTAAATTATGAAAAACAGCAGTTGTCCAGAAAAAAAAAAAGTATATTTTGAATAAGCCTTTGTTAATATAAAGGAACTTGTAACAAGGTGAAGAATTTTATTCTATGATGTGAAAACACAGAGAAACAAAATTATATCCAATCAACACAAGTAAAGGCAAGGACTTTTAAAGCTTAACAACAAATCAATATTCTCACAAATGCTACAGACTACATATAGCACATAAAGCAAGGCTCAGCAGACAGGAGACATACCCATATGGTGTTAGAAAGCAGGGCAGAAGATATGCATGACTGCAATAATTATTACACGTAATATTACATTAGGAAAAAAAACATTATTTGCTGCTTGTTTTACTGCTTTGCTTAGCTTAGCTTTGCCTTCCCACTCCCCTTTTACATTGTTACTTACATTAAGAAGAGGAAGAGAATGTAGGAGGTAGAAGTGAAAGATAAATATTAGTGCATGGTTCCAGCCAGGAAGCAAAGAAATCTAAGGAAACATTCAACTCAAGCAAAGGAATTATAATGGACCTGTTCTAAACACACAGAAATCTACATAGTTTTGGTTTCCATTGTTACAGTGATGAAATATTTTTGTTTTTCAGGAATAAGTTTTTCTGGATCCATATAGACAAAGAAAACACATCGTGCAATAAAGGTTGTACTGTCTCAAAGCACCTTCTAACAAATTTATAGAGTAACCTTCTATTTTGTTAAACACAAAAAACCAGCAAGCCTCTAAATCATCAGTAAATGGCTACATCTTTTACCCTCCTGCATTTCAGTGTGTTGCTTTGTTTCACTACAAGGAGTTAAGGAGATAATGGACTACAAGGAATTATCTGTGAGTAGATTGGAGTGACCTGAGAAGTTAAACAGAGATCTTTGGTTTCACAAGGAAATATGTTCTTCCCCAAGAATACACTCTGTAGTCCTGCCTTGCAGTTAAATCTCTAAAGGTGAAGAGAACTAGAAGCGTGTTGCATTTGGCAAACATAAAGGAGCAATTAACTTTTCCCTTCTGACATTTAAAACAAATTCACTTTGCCGAGCATTTCAACTGATGATACAAACGAGGAGCCCAGCCATTCCTGACTCTTATAGTTAGTATGTAGTAGCTTTTCCTGTGAAAGAATATACAAACAAACTAGGAAGAAATCAGGCCTTGCAGAATACTGCCCAATCGCATTAGCTTAACATTTGCCATAGTTAGAAAATGAAAAAAAATCTTTTACATCAACCCTGGAAAAACGGCCAGATGTCTTTTTAAGTCTCATCAGATTAATTGCTCTCAAGTGAATTTTTGGTTAAGTTTCCACAGTGCTTCTTTATCTTAAAGTATCACGAAAATAACATGAAAGCATTGCAGTTGCTTTAGAACTGCCTCTTAAAACAATAAGGGAACAGTGACAAAATGTACTCATCCTTGATAAAAACTGAGTAAAGATGTAAAATAAATCTCTGTATGTATATGGATAACTGCAGCTGTTCTGACTTACTGCAGCAAATCATTCACGGGTTTTAATAACAGCTCTATAGTCTCACTCTATATGCCTATAAATATAGACATGTTGGCCCCATACAGAACAAATAAGCTCCATCTAAAAACTTCAAAAATCCCACATCTTCACAATCATGCAACAGTTAAATTTTTTTTTCAATTCTCCTTTGTGATATTCCTCAGACAAATATCCTCTGAGAAGAGCTTTTTCTTTTGACAAACTTCCCATACTTCCTGCTCACCATGAGGGACATCACCTACAGCCCTGCCAACAGAAAGCTTCTTGCTGACTTCAATTCACCTCTAATCAGGCTCTTAAGGTATCACTCCAAAAATCCCCACTTTTATCAAGAGCTTCTGTTTTTAGGCAGGCATCAAATCATGCCACCTGGTGGAAATTTAAAAGAAAAGTCATGTATGTGCTTTAAAATAGGAGCATTATTTTAAAAGTAGTAATACTTCACCTCCACCTGTATGTGTAGGATTTGCCCTCGAAAGTGACTTTATTTTAAAGTGAAAAGCTCTCCTTTTTCTCTGTGCAACTCCACTAATGGAAGCTTTTATACTGTAGCAGTGGAAGGTCTAAGAAAAAAATTTTTAAAAAGGAGCTGCATATTACATATATACTGTGAATTAGCAGTGCTGCTGTTTCAGAAAGCCACTAGTGAAGGAGGTGCAGCTCAGCTTAGGAAGCCAGTCAAGTGCCAACTAACAGCAGGCCACCGATATGGCACATGGCATGTGTCCTATTTCAATTTGAGAGAAACAGAACAGGGATCTATGTGATGGTTTTCCAGGACAGTCTCTTGGCACATAGGATATCCATCAATGGAGCAACTAGGCTGGCACCACCATCTTCCACTACCCAATCCAAACTCCATTATCTCCTTAACTTCTTCTTTATCTCCTCTGCCCTTTACCTGTGATAATGCCTACACTCTCACACTTTTCTCACAATGGTCCCCCTAATGTGGCATGTATTTTTTGCAATGAATGCTGGAGAAGGCAAAGGGAATCTCACTGAAATTGTAGACTCAGTGCTTTTTTTTTTTTAAAGAAAATTAAAGAAGACATTTGCTGTGGACAACAGCTAGTGGAAAAACCATTCTTACATGTCTGAGTTTTCTACATGTTCTTTACAAGCATCATTAAATAATCTTCACATTTCCTGAAAAGAAAGTACGTGGACAGGCAAGCAATCTGTGTTCTATCCCTCTATTACAGAGTGGCCATAGAGATGAATCTTAGAAGTATATAAGAGAATCAGGGAATCCTAGGAATTGGAAGGGACATTTAAAGGTCATTTAGTCCAACTCTCCTGCAATGAACAGGAACGTCCACAGCTAGATCAGGTTGCTCAGAGCCTGATCCGACCTGGCCTTGAACATCTCCAGGGATGGGGCTTCCACCATCTCTCTGGTCAACTTGTTCCAGTGCCTCATCATCCTCACTGTAGAAGACTTTTTCCTTATATCCAACCTAAATCTACTCTTTTTAAGTTTGAAGCCATTTCCTCTTGTTGTATCACCACAGACCCCGCTAAAGAGTCTGTCCCCTTCTTTCTTGTAGCTCCCCTTCAGAAAGGCTGCTATCAGGCCACCTCACAGCCTTCTCTTTCCCAGGCTCAACAGCCTCAGCTCTTTCATCCTGTCCTCATAGGAGAGGTGTTCCATCCTTTGGATCATTTTGGTGGCCCTTCTCTGGATGCACTCCAGCAGGTCTATTTCTCTCCTCTGCTGAGGACACCACAGCTGGGTGTAGGACTCCAGGTGAGGCTTCACCAGCAGAGTAGAGGGGCAGGATCACCTCCCTCGACCTGCTGTCCATGCTTCTTTTGATGCAGCCCAGAATACGGTTGGTTTTCTGTTGGCCTTGAACCCTTCAGGGATGGGGCATTCAAACCTTCTCCAGGCAACATGTTTCAGTGCATCACCACTCTCTAAGTAAACAGTATTTTCCTAACAACTAACCTAAATTTCCCCTTTTAGTTTAAAGCCATTCCCCCTTGTCATAACAAGTCAGTCTCCCTCCAGCTTATAAGCTCACTTCAAGTACTATAAGGCCACAATGAGATCTCTCTGGAGCCTCCTCTTCTCCAAGCTAAACAAGCCATCTCTCTCAGCCTTTCTTCATAGGAGAGGTGTTCCAGCCTGCCAATCATCTTCATGGCCCTGTTCTGCATTTACCCCAACATGTCTGCATCATTTTTCTGTTAGGGGCCCTAGGCCTGGATGCAGTACTCCAGATGGTGTTTTACAAAGGCAGACTAGAGGAGGACAATCACCTCATTCATGCTACTGGCCATCCCTCTTTTGATGCAACCCAAGATATGGATGTCCTCTCAGACTGCAAGCATGTCAGCAGCTGCTGGCTCATGTCCCCAGGTCCTTCTCGGCAGGCCTGCTCTCAAGGAGTTCTCCCAGGCTGTACAAATATCTGGGATTGTTCCAGCCCAAATGCAACACCTTGCACTTGGCCTTGTTGGTTGGCCTCATTAGGTTCTTGTGAGCCCACTTTTCACGCCTATCCAGGTATCACTTCTTCCTATTTAACTGCACCCCTAAGTTTATTGTCATGCATGCAGATGACATCAGAAACCAAAAAACACCTCAAAAATAAAAACCTTTAACATTCTAATACTGAATCACCTTTTTCCTATGTCCCCACTGGAATACATCAATTCCCTAATAGGTATCATCTAAAACTTGATATGACTGTACCTCCATGTAAAAGTGATAGACTTCACTATATCATAGTCAACGTTCACAAAAAAAATCATTGCAAATGAGACCAAAATATTTCAAAGACATCTTCACTTAATTATGCTACCTTTAGGTTACTTTAAATTCAATATTAAATGGCTGTCTAAACAACATAAATGAGTATGTGTGCTATGATTGTATAAGTGCAAGTGATGCTACCTACTTTGAAGAGATCCTGATATAAGAGCAAAAGCAGAAAAGAGCAGGATTATCTGTATCTGCTGTAAGTTCCTGTTTGTCATTATTTTTTACTACATGGGGACCTTTCCAAATTTTTCTTCATTGTTGCTGAGCTCATCTTCTAGAATGTGAGATGTTTGCTAAGAACACAGCAAGGAGACCTCACTCATAAAGAGTTGCTCAAGCTCACTGAACTAAATAACTGGAGCTCTAACAGAACAATGATTTTTCTCTATAGAAAAAAAAAAAGGGAATAGTAGAAAGAAAGACAAACAAACTTAGAGGAAAAAAAAACCCAAAAAAAGCAAAAAAACAACAACCTGGGCATGTTTTTTTACCTCCTGTACCTGATGTTGAGTGTCATCTTCTTACCCTTAATGACAACGAAACAAACAGCAAAGAATCTGCATTTCTCACTTTTGCATATGTGCTTGGCAATGTATGCAGAGCTATATAGGCATGTGAAAATCAGTCTTCTGAAGATCTTCTGAACTCAACATGTAATCTCTTTTGCCCACTGATCTGTGCCTTTCTCTCCATCTACACTCAACCCTCAGCTTTTTGTTCGAAACTAGTCTTTTTTTTTTTTTTTTAAGTGAAAACAACATTCTTCCTGGCAAAAAAAAATATATATTTCTTTGACAGCTCACCACTGAACAGAAGAGAAAAAGAAGCAAAACTGCCCATGTGCAAAGCAGCTTATTTTCAGAATCTCTACAAAATATAATTTTGATTTTTTTTCTCAACTGGTGGCCTGACTGCTGAATTTTCAAGTCAATCCAATAAAATATCCTACTTAAGACTGAATTATAACAGTGTTTTAATCATCATTAAAGAGAAAAAGGTATATCTCCTGTGAACTATTATTTTTCCAAGTCCTGTCTGCTCAGCCTTACCTTTCCACAGTAATGGAATGGATGGATCATCACAACTAGAGGCATAACATTTATTACCATCTTCCATCTCATTGTCGACTGTATCACCGTTTCCAACATTCTTGCTTTTGAGAGTGAAGAAATTTTGCATCCTCACATTGTACCTGAATGTGCAGAAAAGGTCTGTTACATTTCTTCACCAAACTTTTAAACATCTGAGAAAAATTTCTGCAAGCAAACAGTAAAGCATAGATGCACATCCTCTGACAACTAATAGGAAGTTAAGAGAAAGACTACTCAAGTCAGTGGCAGTGTAATAACATAGCAAGGGCTGTACTTCTCTCATAAGATATAGCAGAATGCAAAAAAAGACCAGATCAGATTTAGGGAAGACAGAACACTGGAGTTATACATTTTGGAATCAGGACATTCACTATGCTATGGCTTCTTTCCTTTTGCACCAGCTGTCAATTTATCTCACTGCTTCTCTGAACATGGTGTTCCACACTGCAGGCACATACTGGAACAAAAGTGATTAAGCACGAAAATGCAAGGGACCATACATAGAAAAATGGCTGGCTGCATTGTTCTCAGGAGGAGAGCCAAGGACAAAACCACACCAAATGGTCTATTAACATTTGAAGAGAAGAAATACAGAAGAAAGAAGCACTTACTTCATGATAAGTATGTAGAATGAATACATAATAATGAGTATAAGGCTTTCCCACCTCAGAGAGACAAAAAAAAAAAAAAAGTTAAAAGACCACTCAAACAGCTGTATCCTTCACAAGTTTTATATAGGAATGTTCATTAAACATCTAGTGCAAGTCACATTTGTGCACACAGCATTCACGTCTTCTAGATTTGATGGTGTCTGAGGAGAATGGGGGAAGCAAAGCCTATCAAGTTCTGATAAACATGCAAATAAAATGTAATCCATGTATTCCAAAAACATATTACATAGACTGAAACCAGAGCTGCCCTCTGAGGATCACAATGCCAAGGCATTCTGTTGCATCTGTGCTGAAGCATAGGTAGGCACTTTTTAGAGGACTCTTTCAGAAGATGCCTATGATCTTCCACTGGAATCCCACCTTTTCCTATTCTCTGGGACACCTAGTACAATCGTAAATGTTAACAACTAGAATAAGAGCAAAAAAACTTTCTTAGGTGTCAAATCCAGCTCTTGCTTACAGGTTGCATGAATGAAATCTAGATATGATGCAACACCATTAACTGATCAGTCTCATGGCAAATACAGTATGTTAAGGAATAGTATAGGCAACTTACCATTCTATTTTCTCATCATATATGAACTAGAAAGAAAAATAAAAGGAAACATAAGTTTACATTTCTCTCATCTGTCTTGAAAACATTCAAATTTATTTAATAAGTATCAGTCATATCTAGCCAGAAGCTACTGGAGATTTCCCCTTTTGACCCTTTCTAACCAGAACTTTCACCATATGGATTATGCCCCTCATAGCTCTAAAGCACAAGATTTTTGCATAAGGCTTGGATCCCTGTTAATGGCTGTTATAAATATTTAGTAGAACAGTGCGAGCATGTGAGAGACATTTCACTTCTAGTCTTAGAAGTAAAAACACATTTTATTCTGCTCTGTATACTCTTTATGTCTAAACTGGAGAGAGATGGATTTGAAGGACGGACTATTTGACTGATGAGGAATTGTTTGGATAACCACATCCAGAGAGCTGCAGTCAATGGCTCTGTGTCCAGGTGGAAATCAGCGATAAGAGGAGTCCCTACAGGTTCCATACTGGATTCACTAGTATATATTATCTTTATTAATGATGTAGACAGTGGAAGACAGTAGAATCAAGTGCTCTCTCAGCAACTCTGCAGCTGACACCAAGCTGGGTGGTGCAGCTGACACAACAGAAGGAAGGGATGCCATCCAAAGGGACCCGGACAGGCTTGAGAAGTGGGCCCATAAGAACATCATGAAATTCAACAAGGTCAAGTGAAAGGTGCTGCACGTGAGTTAGGGGAATCCCAAACATCAGTACAGACTAGGAGATGAAAGGATTGAGAGCAGCCCGGCAGAAAAGGACTTGGGGGTACTGATGGATGAAAAACTGGGCATGAGCTGGTAGTGTGTTTGTAGCCCAAAAAGCCAATTGTATCCTGGGCTGCATAAAAAGAAGCATGGCCAGCAGAGCAAGGGAGGTGATTCTTCAACTCTACGTCATCCCTTTGAGACCCCAGCAGGACTACTGTGTTCAGTTCTGGAGCAACATAAAAGATTTGGAACTGCTAGTGTGGATACAAGTGAGGGACATAAAAATCACAGGGATACATCATCTCTCCTACAAAGAAAGATAGAGAGCTGGATTTGCTTAGTCTGGAGAAGGCTCTCAGAAGACCTAATTGGAACCTTTTAAGACTTAAAGGAAACTTGTAGGAAAGATGGAGAAAGTCTTTTTACAAAGGCATGCAGTAACTGGACAAACAGTAATGTTTTCAAATGAAAGAGTGTAGACATAGATTAGATATAAGAAATAAATTATTCACTATGAGTGTGGTTAGGAACAGAGCAGCTGTGCGTGCCCCCAGCCAGGAAGTGTTCAGTGGTGCGTTGGATTGGGCTTTGAGTTACCTGGTCTACTGAGATGTGCCTGTCCATGGCAGGGTGGTTGGAACCAGGTGAGTTTTCATTCCCTACCAATCCAAGCCATCTTATGATTATACGATGCCTTTTAACTTCAGCATCTGATCAGGCAACTAGTGATCTGTACTTCTAGAAATTGAACTAAGTGGCTTCTTCCCTTCCCTGCCACTATAAAAGTGCATGTTCAGATCTACTTCACTGTTCTAAACAAAGTGATATCTCACTGGTGCTCTATTTAGAAAAATTTACCCAGGATCTGTGAAATAAAATTACTGTGAAGAAGCAAGACACAGCCACTTTCTCTATTTAAAATAGAGGTGCAAGGTAGAGCTCAAAAATTCTCAGCAGTCCTCTGAGTCAGAAGAGAGTGCTAACTGCATCATGTACTGCTGGTCTCCAGAACTTTACATATCATAGGTATAAAATGAACGGATATGGATTGACATGATGGACACATATTCTGTGAGACTGTACAAAGTTTTTGTATTTGGCAGATATAGTGGTGCTGATTTTACACTTTGGGATGTCACCAGAACTAGTTAGGAAAATAATAGTTAATCAGCACATACCAATGCTTAGCAAATAGTTTCTCCAAAATCAAGCAATAAAACACTTTAATTGATAAGAGAGCTACTTACAACAATAAGTATGACAACAGATAAGGTGTAGTACACAGAGTCTCGGAACACAGCCCACTGGGTAAGACAAACCACCTGAAAAATATCACAGCTTTAGACAACAAAAGTAAGCAACTCTAAAGACAGAACAATGGCTTCCATCTTGCAGTCATTTGGTTACGTGAGCAGAATTATGCTTAATCATTCTGGAACAAATAGTTTTATGCTAACAGGATCTCAACAGCCTGTTAAACAATAACCAGTGTTGATAAAAATCATCTAGAAACTTCCATTTATGAAATAGATTTCTAACTAATAATATTTTAGTTTACCATAATTTCAACTGTAAAGTACAACTCATAGTGCAACAAAGCAATGGCTCCCATATCATTCTCATTGTGGATGACTAGCAGACTAAATACAGAAAACTATAAGATACACAGTCTAACCACTCACTGAATAGATACAAGAAATCTCATGACTTTGTCCTAATTTTTTTTTTTTTAATCAGAATCAGAACCAGGAAAGATTAACAGAGACCACTGATCATCTGACTGTGGACACAGTATTGTATGAAGAGGAATGAGGTTCCTCTGTATGCTGCACGTTCAGAATGCTGAAACTGCAGATGAACTTTTTGGAAACGTTTGCTATTTGCAAAGCATTCCATAATTTTTTTCCCAAACTGATAGTTCTTTAGCTGCCAGCTCATTTTTTGTTGGCTTTGTTGTGTTTTTATTAATGGTTCTTCCTTATTTTTTTTTCCTCAAATACCTATTCATGCAAACCAATCAAATATAAGCAATTGAACTCCACAAAGAGAAGCATCTTACTAACCTGTCCTGCAAATAATCCACATACACCGACAATGCAGAGGATGTTGAAAACTGCTGAACCAACAATGGTCCCTACTCCAACATCTCCATGAGTGATAAATACACCTGCAGAGGAAAACATGTTATTACCTCCACCATTTCATTTTAGGCCACAGATAGTTAATCAAAGCATGTACTACTCAAGAATAACAAATCATTTGAGAGTTTTACTGAAATATATTTCATAATAAATGCTCATTTCTCTGTGGAATATTTTGTGCTTTTTGTCTAGCTAGCAGCTTCACATTTTTGGATGAACACGTCTGTATATACATATTGTATATGTATATGTATTTTTATTAAAATTAAATAATTGTCTTACCTAGTTAGTTCTATGCTAAGTCCTGTATTTCACACTTCAGATGTTACTGCTGCAGTAATCCATTCAAATGAGTGAAAAATATCTCCACTCACATCAGAAGCATGAAATTCCTTTCACACAGTATAATAAAGCACAGAAACCTCTCTCTTGGGCATTCGATATTTAGCAGCTTTTTGGAATGTCTCATAGTAGTAAGAGATTCTTACCTCAAAAAACTGCGAGTGTTCTTGGGTGCAGTAATGTGTGTCTTCTAACTCCAACAGGCAAACAAGATTCAAACTTAACTTGTTCTAGTACCAAATTTCACATTTCCTTTAGTTCTAAACCCACATATACCTCAAAAACCCATCTGTAACAAAATTCTATCAGAACACCAAAAATTTAAGGGCTGGAAGAGATCTCTATGTATTATCCAGTGTAATCTTCAACACTGAGACAGGACCAAAGATAACTTCTTACTTCCTGAATGCACTACAGAGCTGTGGCTTGTACTTCAAATCTTTCCCTAAAGGGAGCCTTAAAGACTCACTTGTGTGTGTGTGTGTGTGTGTGTGTGTGTGTGTGTGTGAATGCATCTGTTCTATTTTGTCTGCTACTCCTTTGAAACTCAAAATCATTGGATATAATACTCCAAATGCTGTCTAGTGGAATTGAGCAACGCAGGATACTTTATAAAGCTGGTGCTTTATAAATGGGTCTAATATACAATCACCTGTTATTTGCAGTATCCTATCATCAACTATTATTTGACTCCTGCTGCTGTTGCAATACATCAATGCCCTTTCAGATCTACAGCCCTCCGAGCAGTTATTATACCCATTGGGTATATATTCACTTCATTATTTTTATGTTTCTCATTTCTGACATTAAATTTCATCCTGATGATTTCAAATTGGTTAAGATTCTTCTTTATTTTCAGCCTTCCATCTAGTGTCCATTTTTTCACTCAGGTTATATATAAAAATAAGACTGAAATTTGTAGGATGTCTTCAGGTGCATCTCCAGCTTTAAACCTAGCTTTTAGTTAATTCATATTTGAAATCTGCTTTCTAATAATTTGGGCATGGTTTTATAGTGCATTCCTTTAGACTGCATTTCCCTAAAGTTTGTATGACTGTCAGTCATGACAGTAGTAGAAGGTATATTAAAGCTTTTCTAAAAACACATGAATCACATTTGCTACATTCTCCCTTCCTACTAACATAATCCTGTCTTAAATGGTTCTACTTTTGCCGCTGAGACCTTCTTTCTAACAAATAATCCCTAATAGCATAGAGATTACTTGAAAAAATTCAGTAAGTAATGTACACAGAACATTATGTCTTTCTGACTTTAGCAGATCTATATTAATTTGCTCTTCTTCCTTTTTTCTAGTTCTCCTACTTCCTTGCTAAAATTAATTTCCTTAATTTATGACAAAAGAAGCAAAAGACACATCAAATACCTCTAATTCTTTCTCAAGGGACAGCAACACAACTCTTCTTTTACTTTCAGTATTCAGAATCAGCCATTCCTCTCTGTGTTTTGAGAGGAGATTCACAGTTTCATGAGATATTTTGAGTAGTTAATTATACCATGAACCCCAGATTAGCTGACAGTTGCAATTGCTGACTATACTTTGACAGAAGAATAGTAGCATTTCTGGATGTCTCTGCTTGACCTGCTGCTGATTTTTTAAGAGCTCTCATGAAAGCCAGTGTGTGGGTTCCATACCTATAACAGATGCAAACAGCTCTGGCGTGGAGCTCCCTGCAGCCATGAATGTGGCTCCAGCAACATCTTCACTCAAATGTAGTCTCTGGAAGAAAAGTATTGGATATGTCAGCACTGCTCCTCAGTTCACACTGTGCAGTTATACAGCTGTAACAATAGAAGTCCTACATCTTTTGGCCACCAAGCTATTAAAGAATGAACAGCCTCTGTGATACAGAAACATACATTGCCTCTTGGCAAATATATTTTGGGCAAATAAAATGCTTTTAAATGCTAAGTCAGTGGTCACATAATACTACCTACTTCTAAATAACTGATCAGATAATTGTGGCTTTGATGTTAGAGAGAAGCATCTCTTGCATACTCAAAAAGATTGTAATCTCCAGTGGCTTTCAAGAATTCACTTTTGGAATTCTAAATACAACCATGTAAGAATTAAGGCCAATTCTTGGAGTCTCTAAAATTTTAAAACTGGTAACTGAAAAATATAACCTCTGTGAATGAAACTTACTAACAACAGGCCTATTTCTATCTTCAATTACAATAAAGCTAGTCCAATTAGATGCAGACAGGCCTGTGCATGGCAGTTAGATCTATTTTTATGACAGTGTCTCTTAAGCTCTAATAGGATATAGGTGCCTTAGGTGCCTTAGACTTCTAAGACCAGTAGAGATGTTTAGCTTCAAAAGTGGGCTGGGTCAGTTTAATACTGTCTGAGGATGTTTTTCTTGAACTATAAAGACAGCTTTTTTGAGATCACCTAGACTAATTGTTAGCACCTCATTTCTCTTCAAAGGATAGAAAAGTGATTGACAAAAAGGACCAGTACAGAAATAATGTGTTTCTCAGGCAGCATGCAATATTTTAAGCTGATAAAAATGGCATGCTACAGAAACACATTTTCTTATTCTATCATGTGATCTATCACCAGTCATACTGCTGAAGGAGCTCAAATATAAGTGAGCTTTGAATTCTTCTTAGTTGTCTCAATATTCAGAAGAACATGAGACAAAAGACAAAGATTTTAAGAAAGAACAACGAATTAATTGGTACAACCCAACTGGTACAATTTAAAGAAGGTGTGTATGAAGCATGCTGAAGATAAAAGATCTGAAAAGGGAAAGAATAGATTCCTATTTAATACTTTGATCATCTTGGTTGCCTCCCTTATTCTTCCACTTGTCCCTCTACTGAGCTCTACATAACATTAATATGTAGATCTGTCTACATATCCATAGGAAAATTGACATGTTTTTATATTAATTACGTGCATTTTTCAGAAAATGGTCACTTCTGTTAAAAAACTGAATTCTAACCCCTCCTGATTATCACCCTTAATTAGAATTCTACATGTAATTTTTCAACATCTTCACAGCAATTATGTAAAGGAATTTGCTATTTTTAAAAAATATAAAATACATATTCTTATTCCACATCAAATCACAATAGTTACTTTTCATATACATTCTCCCCTTTCTCCACTTGATCCTACGCACCTGCTCCACGTTGATACAGTGGTGGATGCAGATTACAAAAATCATAAGCCAACACATTAATTTGTAAATGCATGATTTCTTTTTTTTTCACAAATGAATCTTAAAACTAGAGTACAGTAACAAACTCAAAGCATCCATATTTCACATCCATCCTACCTACATGCTTCACATACTCAAGAGTGCATTTTGCCAACTGACCTCCTGAAATTTTTCATTTTTGCTCCTTGAATGCGCCCATGGGGACCAATGGGCTAAGATTACAGCTCAGATTTTTCATGGAATGCCTTAATACTCTGAAAAGGACCGCAGCCAAAAAATTAACAGGAAGGAACTCCAAACAATGAGGGCACAAAATGTTCACTGCAGTGTGTAAATACATTTTCAAAAGGGGAATAAAGTTCTTTAACATACCTCACAAATTTTCTCTAAGGATGGAACAAAGAAGTCATCACATACTATAGCCAAAGCATAGAACATATACAGAGCCTGTAAGAAAGTAAATTCAAGAAATACTTCAGATGTTTCCTCTGTATAAAAAGAGGAAAAAGGCAATGCAATTAATTTAGACAGATAAGAATACATAGCTTCATTTTCTACCCCATTTTAAACAAAAACACCTCTGCTGATCAATGCATGGCATAAAAGTAGATTCTTATACCTAGGGTTAGGACAGTAATGGTTGTCAAACCCTAGAATATGAAAAGTATGACAGTCTGAATGCAAAGGGTGTAAAAAAAATTTCATAGACAGGAAAGTAACAGGCAGGACTTTACCAAGTTATATGGTCCTCATTTATTATTTTCAATTGATAACTGGATCAAGTAATTGAAAAGAAAGCAACACCATGCAGATTAGCAACATAAAATAATCATACCTAGAAATAAGTGGACCCTGACCACGGCTCATTGCAACACACCTCTCAGTAATGATTCTGATTTCATGCACACTTACAATGCTCCCACTATATTATGTGACCTTATGTTTCCTGACAGTAAACCTAATCCTGCTGTTCTCCATCAAAAACGTCTCCTTTGTTACATTATTTTTCCTGAGCTGAGAATGGAAAACTGGAGCCTGTAGGTCTTATTTGTTTTGCTTTTTCTACAATAAAATATAAATCTTAATGTGTTTATATATATATATATATATATTTCATCAGGTTTGTTTTTTTTTTTTTTTTTTTTTAATTACTATTGCATCTTTTGTATAGAGGCACAATAGAAAAGAAAGAGATTCAAGAATGTTCTACATCACAGATTATGTCATCACCAAAGGAACCCCAAACCCTGTTTACAGTCCCTCTATGCTTCATGGAGTCAGGATTTTATCTGCAAGAGGATGAATATACAGGCACTATAAATTCAGACCTGTATAATATTCTTAAATAAATACTACTTTTTGAGCATTTGTACCCACACAGGGATATCTAAAATACAAAATCAAAGTACTAGAAATATGTTGATAAATACAGAGACCTGTTTGTTAAGGGTTAATGATCAATAACTAACATGATCAATATCTTACAAAAGAAATAAAAGAAAAAATTAAGCACAGTAGAAGAAAACTCACAGCAATGATGTGAAGGAGAACCCCTCCTTGCTGCCGTTCTTTATTTGTGAATATATCCTCAGGAAATTCATGAATGGCTGAAACAGAAGTATACATGCTTTATGTATTTTACAGGACCTACAAACGTAATAGTGAAGAATAAGGATATACCTGTAGAAAAATATGACCAAACATGAATGTATCTTCCCACTTAGTACATTACAACCTGCCAAATCAGAATCTCTTTTCTGCTCTGTAGAAAAAACAGAGGACTGAAACTATTATAGGTGTCACTATTTACCATCATGCTAGTCACTTAAACCAACCTCCAGTGTACCAAACATGACATATTATTAATGCCTTATTTTCAGAATTAACTCTCCTGAATGCTAAGTGTACTTCCAAAGTGGTCAGCACAGGCACTAAAAACGCCATTCTGAAATAACAATCTTTAAGCGTGGCTTGCTCCGAAATATTATGCAATGACTGTAACAATCCATCAAGTTCTTAACTACAAATGTTTATACAACTCTGCAAATCAAACAAGTTGCTCACAAAGAATAAAGCAATTCCAAGAATTTTCCCATGAAGACTACTATCAATATCTAGCAAAGGAAGAGATGAAACAGAAACAATAGGTGGTCCATAGGAATGTTTGAGGTCATGAGTTTTGGGATTAATTCTGTGTGGCACTGAGGTTGTGTATAGTTCAACTGAAGAATTTAGGTTAAACAAAGAGGCAAGAGGGTGAAAAATGGACTGAGTTACCTGCAATCACCAAACACACTTGAAATTCTTAGCTGTAGTGAGAGGAAATTCTAGTTTCAGACTAGAATTACTTTTCAATTCTGAAGTGTTTGAGTTTTTTATAAATACAAAAACACCCCATTTGTAGTACATATATTCACATGCTTCATGTGTTTAGCTTCATAAAGACCGGAACCCTGTTTTTATGCAAAGGTTGAGATTTCACAGCTTGTTTTTTCACTTGGTGTCCACTACAACAAACACATTAACTTGGAATGAATATTTTGGCAATAGGTTGTTTTTAAAACCTTATATACATAAATCTTACCTTCCTTACAAAAGTCCAATTTACCATTTTGTGAAATCTCTCTAAATTCTTCAACCTTCTATTTGAAAATCACTACAGTTTGCTTAACAGTAACTAACAATCTGTAAAAGACTTAAAAGTTCAACAGCGATGACTTACTGCAATTCCTTTACTGATTTCAGTAGGCCTTTCATTTAGACCTGCTCTCACTAAGACCTGTTGTATTCCGACAGGAACCAGAATCAGCACTTCATATGTTGAACTAAGCTTTTCCAAGATAAAGATACTTCTTTTCTTTTAAGTCTTAGAAAACAAAAATCGTTAAAATTTATTGTAAATTTTCTTTAGATACTTTTGATACTCCTAATTGTAGGTAAATGTTATATTTCTGGTCCTCCTTCAGTAATCACAAGGAAAAATGAAAGTAACATGGATATAAAATAGTTCATCAGTACAATTGCACAATAATAATCAACCACTGAATAAGCAGAATGCCATTCAAGAATATGCAGAGTACTTCTGCACTTAAAGATCATCAGCACACCAGCATTTTTCAGGATTTGTTTCAAGAAAGTGGGCCCAGGTTGCTCCATAACTCCACATCACAGCCTGTGAGCTGCACCGCAAGGAGATCGGTAGCCTTAGAAAACAGAATTGCTGTATAAATGCAAGTCATACCACAAGTAAAAGATATTTGCTTATCAATCCAAACAAGCTCAAGTACTTGTAAAATAAAAAAAAGTGTCACTTTCCTTTCTATAATATATATATATTCTATATAATGAATATATATATATATATATTCTATATATATTCTATATAAGTTTTTCATTGCTTACCTGCAAACAAGGAAAATGACAGCAGAAATATAACATTAAGTGGGAGAAAACCGGTTGCATTGTAGTCTTGAGATATTGTATTTACAGTGAACATCAGAAAAACCCACAAGCTGCTGGTCAAGATGCAGCAATCTGCAGTGACTCTATCTACAGATGAGTATTTTAAGATATTGGAAGAACCTTATATAAATTTAACAGTCAAGCAGGCTTCCTGTAGTAATGTATTACTATTGTATATCATATACTACTATATATATATATGTATATGCTACTCTAAGTATATACTGTACTGTTATTAGTTTATATGCAATTTAGTAAAATTCAGTAATATCATTCCCTCCATATGGCAATTATGGAGGAATATCCTTTTGAAGCAATATTGGAAAGTCAAAAATATAAGAACTTGTCAGCCTCACTTGCTGCCAAAAGCAAAATTTCTCAGAGGAGTTATTTGCTACCATATGAAATACAGAATAGGAAAAATTAATCAGCACCCAAAGCATATGGTTTTAAATAAAACTCCAGCTATTAAAAATTAATGTTAATTAAAATTATTAATAACTAAAAAAGCATTAAGGAGCCCTCTTCTCTAGGAGAAAAGAGAGCTACAGCTTCTGACATGCTCCTATACAATGTGGTCCTTTTACCACTTTTCTGAAAGAGTGGTGGGCTGCTCAGGGAGGTGGTGGAGTCACTGACCCTGGAGGTGTTCAAGGAATGTTTGGATTTTGTGTTGAGGGACATGATTTAGTTAGTACTATTGGTGATAGGTGGATGGTTGGACTGGATGATCTTGTAGGTCTTTTCCAACCTTGGTGATTCTGTATTTCTGTCCTTCCTGCAATACTGGCTAAAATACCATGACCAACTTGGGAGCATACAAACCATGTATTTGAACAACTACATTCTTTATTACACTCTCCATTTGTTCTTCATCTCCTCCATTCAAAACAGGGCTGCAGGAGTACAAGTATTCCAGCAGTGGCCCAGAACTGCAAAGATAAGAGCCCTGGTCTGAGTCTCCAGGAATGCTGAAGTAGAACTATAGCAAGGGGTGCATCCTTCCATAAAATGGGAAGGTTTGTAAAGGTTTGTACTAACCATGACAAGTAGCTGTGAAAGAAACACCATTTCCCCTACTGCCATGCAGATAGAATATTCCCTGTTGCATGACTTGGCAAAACCAGTGTGTCATCAGGGGAGCTATTACCCAGCCGGCAATTTCTTTCCCTTGGCTGTAGAATATTTCACAGTATAACACTAACAGTGGTTGAATGAATATAAACCAAAATCTCAAGAAACATTAATAAAAAACAGTAATAGTATCTTTCTAATGCAACTTCACTTATGCAAAGTTGATACTAAATAGGAAATCAGAAGACCAGAGGATGTCAAAGAAAAGAAGAGGGAAATGAGCCAAGGCTTCCAATGCCAAGGAAAAGCAAAATAGCTTCATTGCAAACCAACATGGTACATACGTACAGTAAGATGATGTTGTATTTCTAATAAATAACTACTTGAACTAAACACCTCCTCACGTCAGAGAAGTACTTTCATATGAATAAGCACAAAGGCAGCTTCTCTCTAATGTAATACTTCTCTCTAAACAAAACTCATATGATGAAATTCTTCTAATACATAGATACTACAAAATCTTTAGTAGACAAGGAAATTAAACACGTTTCTGAACTCTGCTAAATAAGATTTTGTCCTCAATGAAATGGCTACCTGCCAGTGATATCCAAGGTAAAGTCTGCAGCTTTTTAGTGTATTTGCTTTTTTCATGGTTTTACTATCCAGATAATCGTAAATTTTGAATAATCATCATCTATAAAGTCTGCATTTTTCCTTATTTACTCACTGTATTGTGTTTTCAAGATTTTAAACATAGATCTGTTTTTCTTATCCACTGTTCTGGTAAGCCGGTTGATCATGAAAAGACTGTCTGGACTCAGATTCCTCAGGCCTGGGAATCTTCATCACCTAAGCAAAGGGCAGTGGTATTCTCTCATTTGTACAAGCTAACAAAGGGGATATGTCATTACTGTGTTTCTGCTCTGCCCACACTCTACAGTATGGTGGGTACAGGCAGGAGAGCACCGCTCTACCTCAGCAGAGATGCTTTCTCATGTATGGGAGACGTGGTGATCTGGCAGCCTGAGTGGGAGCTACAGCTCCTCAGTTTTCACTGAAAAGAGACAGAACAGATGGGAAGAGGATCTGAAATGAAGAGCAGTACATCTAACAGGGCTAACCTTTGCCAAAAAAGGAGAACACACACCAATCATCTTTAAATCAACTAGAAATACAGAAATATTTATCCTGCTGGTACTGTTGCAAACCCATGACTCCCGCAGCTCAACTTATCAAGCACAGGGGGAAGGGAGGGCACAAGAAGGTCAAGTCTATACTGAAATTGTGATAGTTCTGCAGCTTGCTCCCTCCCTCCATAAATGACATGAGCAGGGACACAAGGAAAGCTTCTCTAACCACAAATTTGAGGTGGTGACACTGCCACCTTTTACTCCAAATTTTGAAAATATTAAAAACATCTTGATTATGATATGGCAGGAAGGATGATTCACCTTTGATAGAAAGTTCTGGCTGAGCTGCCTGTGGCTAAGGAGCTAACACAAGTATGCAAATAGCATGCCCCTGAACAGCACATCACAGAAGCTGCAGAGCTTAACATGTCTGCATGGCTCTGGAACGAAGATCTGATCTGCAGCAGACAGGGGTAACCCAGGCATGCCAGTGACATTGGCTCGTGCTTAGGCTGTTACCAGATTACTTCTGGGTTCCAACAGAGCATTGTTCCCAAATGCCCTGTCCATACCGTGTGAGGCAGCCTGCCAATGAAGTTAAATTTCAAAATCTCCTAAGCCTGACAGAACATCTCAACGACCACGTGGATTTGTGGTTTTATAACCTGCCTCAACACGTGATGTCTTCACCTTATCAGCTCTTGATTTACTCACACAGGCAACAAACATGCTGACTCTCTTAATACCTGCTAAACGTTCAAGCATGTTACACCTCTTTAACTTCTCCTCATAGGAAAAAAGGAGCTGTAGCTGTTTGAAAATACACTATCAGCTGGCTCCCCTCTGCCTCTGCAGTGAAGGTGATCAGGCAAATAACACACAAATCTTTTCTTTGTGAAAGTTCTTGGGGAATATTTTCTGCTAATCTACACCCGTTCACA